ACTGAGACATAATCCAGTTAATTTGCTATCAAACATCACTCCAAGGAATTTAGGTTATGGTGACAAAAGAATTATCAAGTTGTCCAAACAGAGCTGTGGGTCAAGATGGAGACCTCTTCTACAACAGAAATGCAAATACAATTTTTTTTTTTTTTTTTTTTTTTAAATTTAGAAGACAAACAACACTGTTTTTTTTTTTTTTTTTTTTTTTTGTTTTTTTTGTTCAGGAAACTTGAGGACATTCATACTCGACCATTTAACAATAGTATTCATGGCAATTTTCAACTACCTTTCAATGTAATGCATATCATTGCTTTGGCAATTAATGTATAAATTACTAACATATAAGGCATCCTTCATAGAAAGGAGAAGACATTTTCGTACAGAATCAATTTTCAAAGTAAAAACTGTGACGCTCAGCCCATTTCCTTGAGATATACCTTCCTGTTGCTACAAATCTTCAGGTAGCACTGACCCTATCCTAACATTAAAATTATAGTCTTCAAGAAGTTTTGTACAAAAACCAGAAGATTGCTCCATACTCCACTGTCGTAAAGGTCACGCAGGATATCATTTCTCCATGTCTTATCATATACTTTTCCAATATCAAGACCGTACCAAATAATTCCTTTTAAGAAAAGTTTCGTGGATGGATATCTCTGAAAGGAGAGCATTGTCCACAGTGATCGTCCTTCTGGGAAGCCACTCTGATATCGAAAAATGAAGTTCTTCTCTTCCACACAAGTAGACTAGCACGTATTAATAATTTTGTTTAGGGTTTTATATAAGCAACTGATTAAGGCAATTGGGCGATAACTGGACGAATTCCCTGGGCCCTTTCCTCGTTTAGCAACTGGGATGAGAACAGCTTTTCTCAAGGCGTTTGGAGATGTCTTCTGAGCCACAGAGTGAGAAAAATAGCTAAATATTGCTATGACAAATGTCTGCTCATCATATAGCTAACTCCATTAGGAACTGGGCTTAATTTTTTGTTTGTCTGCTAAAGTATTCTTCATAGCTCATTCATTCTGAGATCATACTTATAAATCACATATATATGAACATTGAATTTAATTGGAACTTTTTCGAACTGCAATTTGTAACACAGAAAGGCTAAAGGATTGCTGTCAGCACTTAATACAGCAGAAATTCTTCACCTAAAGTGTTTACTATTTCTTCCCTGCTACTATTAACACGATTATTTCTTTTTAAGAATGGATAATGAATGACTTTCATAGATTTCTGACATGTTCTGTTTTCGATCCCAAAACTTGCTTACTTTGCGTGTTTGATGTAATCACAGACATGCAGAAAATGCATAACAACCGATTCTGTCTACGTGTTTTTATTTTGACGTTCTTATAAGCAATGAGATTTGCTGAAGTTAAGTATTGGGGTAAAATATTCCATTCCTTTTTTGTTGTCTACTTATTTCATGACATTCTTCATTCCCTTATGGTTTTGGATGCTTCAAGGGCCTTCCGGAGGACTAAGGTACTGAGAACTGAGCAGCCAGTATAATGTTCTCGGTAATGTCAATAACAGCTTCATCCTTTGTTAGTCACCGAGAAAAAAGGGGGAAGATATATTACGGAATGGTCATATTTTCTTCTGTTTCCATCCCTTCCGAATCTGTTACTTCAAAACTCATACGATCAGGCAATCTACGATTTTCATTATGGGCTTTGTTTTTCACTTTCTCTTTACATATGATTACCACCCGATTCTTATTCTTCTCATTAGCATTCTTTGATTATGAAGTCTGCTTGATGTTATCATACAAATAGACGGCGTATTGTTACTTAATTTACGCTGAATATTTAGATCAGTTTGTGTGGCTATTGAGATAGTAGATTTTACAACAGCAGAATAGAATAAGTAACTCCGCGGCCTCAAACTTTAGTTTTTTCGCTTCTGCAAATGATATATTTCTATTGATTTTTATTTGTTGGATTTCTTTTACTCTTTCCCAGTCAGACCATAAATGCAAATATGCTGGGTGTTCTTATTTACAGTAACACAAAGCTGGGCTGATATGCAGCCGTAAGACTTCCACGACATGTTGTTTTTGTAATGAATGGCCTAACAGGTGCAAATATCCAACTTTGTTGCTCTTTAAAATATTAGGGGTTTTAAATGTCAGGATTATGTTTTGTTGGATATAGCTGGCCATCTTTAATTTGATGAGAAATGATGATATTTTCCTTAGTTCACTTTCAGCATTATCAAGAACTACAAAACGAGGTGAAAGGTGTATTCTGTGCATTTAACATTTGATTTCTAACTCATTTCATTATTTGTGAAAGAAGTTGGAGAAGATTCCATACTGAGAACTGAAGATTCGGCATTGATTACATTTGTTCCTGGTTATTCAATACGATTATCTATTTAGAAGTCATATGCGAGACAAAAAAATTCGGGACTGACCGCCTCACCCAGCATGGAATCCAATAAAGAACACAGATTCCTGTGTTAGCGCTAGTTGGACTTATACGCAGACTGAAGCTAAACAGTCGGCTTTCCCAAATGCAGGGTACTCACTCCTGAAAGCTTATCACAAAGCCGCCGACACTAACATCGGGAGAAGAGCCGATTGACACACGTGAGGACAACGAAATGCCTTCTGTTTAGCTGAAACAGAGGGTAAAGCAGTACATTGGGGATGATTCCGGTACCTCAACTAAAAGAACCCTCCTTTCCAACGACGCACAGCATCCACGAGCAGTTTTCTCGCCACTTGAAGCTGGAAACAAGAGCTGTAATAGTATCTCATGAAGAGCCTCAACCTCTAAAAAGGAAAATGACAAGGAAGAACTAGGAAATAATATTAGCTAAGAGGAGGGAAAAGAGGTACCTCAGGGGCTCCAGGATCATGACACCATTCTCACTAAGAAGATGAGCCCCTAAAAAAGCTACAGAATTTCTGAATTGCCACACCCGTACTCACACAGAGTGAACCCCTGAAGAGACTGTGGATACCGTCCTGGGTTAATTGCAAAACTACTGAATAAAAATTAATCCACATTTTTTAAGCTTCAAAATTATACACGTACAAGTAATATAGCAGTGGCAGCATATCGTCATATGAAAAGTCGAGTTCAAAACCAGTCAGAATACAGTTAATTTTTAAAATTTTCTAGTTCTAACAAAGGAGAAGGGAAAAAAAAAAAAAAAAAAAAAAAACCCTAATGACTTGGCAAAGATATCAAAACTAAAATGTAAGTAAATTATATAATTTGCTACGAATTTGATTTAGGTTGCTTGGCACCATCTCTTTCACCTAGCTTACCTTCCTTTCAGATGTATGTATAGACGAGTTTTAAGAAATTAAAAGATATCAAATTTATATCTTTTAATGATGTAAATGTCAGCATATTTAGCAAACAAATGAAAGGTTTAAGTTCAATTTTGGCAATGTCACAGCTCATTTTACACAATTTCTTGTCAATAAAAAGCTAATATTTTTATACATTAGCTTTTTATTAGAAACTTCCATTCATTCTCTAACTTAAATGTTTTCAAGTTTTGATTTTTATTACATACTATATCGCAAATAACTGAAATTAATAAATCTAGATAAAGGGTTCCCAATGGGGTCGATATGAACCCCCTGGAGGTCCATGAAATTTTTAAACAGGGTCAATGATGATCAAGAGGTCGAATGGGGGTCAACAGCCGTATTTAATTTAAAAAGCAATATATTTTTTAAATGTATGAATTTTTTATGCAAGAATTGCAATATAAAAAAGTAAAGTGCAGAAACACTAAAACGCAACCAAAAAATATGAAGAATACAAAACTTTCTCAGTCTATACACTGTTACACACAAGCAGCTTGCAAAATGTAAAAGAAGATTTAAATGTTTGCTTCCATGACAATGGAAATTTAAATTTACCAGTATGGCTCGCTGAACCACGATATATTTATCTTGATATTATGATGCAAGAAGAGTTGATTGTACTGAAAGAGGACTTCAAGCATGAGACTTGCTCAAAACATATGGGTATGTTAAATTTTGGAATTTAAAGTCATTCGAGAGAAATATCCCCAAATAAAATTTGTTACTGGACAACATTATTGAGTTTCTTCTTACATGGGGAAAACAGACTTATCAAATCAATAATTTAATATAGAAAACAATAAACAGGTCAAATATTTCTAAATGAGGTGACTTAAGAATTAAGTTAAGCAGATTTATCCCAAACATTAAAACAACTGCCTTAATGAATCAAATGCAGCTATCCAATTAATTTAAATCAAACTTTTGTGCAATTAGAATTAGTGATTTTGTTTCTGAAAACTTATGTTTCTAAAATTAAAAATAATATCAAAAAAACTAACAAAACATTTTTTCAAAACTTTTGTTTATATCATTAGTCTAATTGTTATCTTTAAGTTATTCATGTGAAATTATTTGTATTATGATTTTGTTGTATGCTGCATATTATACAGAAAAAAGTGAGGGGGGTCAATGAAGAAAACCATTTTTTTAAAAGAAGTTGATGCAAGAAAAAAGGCTGGGAATCCCCGTTATAGCTACTTAATTGAAAACTATTTATGGCAATTTTTTTAAAGCACTTTCTGGGGAAAATATTTTTATAAAATGTACTTTCTCATCATAATTAATTATGGATAGAGATACATAACATTAGAAAAAATGCTCAGTATTAAGAATGTGGAAACTGATTATTACTTGTAGCATTTTATAGCTATTTTATAAGTAATTCACCTTAATGGAAGCTTAGAACACAAAGAAAGCTAATTGTAATTCAACTATTTTCTATTCAGCATATCAGTAACTAACCATAACAAGTAATAATGCCAACAAGTAAAACAAAAGTCACACAAGGAACATGGCAAAGAATAATAATTGTAAACGTCAGTTTAAAATGATATTAGCATTTTTAAAAGCAAGCACATTCTCATTTTCTGCTTATATTCTTTTAGTGAAAATTTCTTTCCCTACACAAATATTAAATGGAAAATATTAGATAAAGACATTTCAGTTCCCAAAATTTATTTTAGCAGTTTGCTTACAGCTACACTTAACATGCAGTCAAAAAGTATTTCATAATTGCATGAACATTATTTCTAAACCAATCCAAAAGTTTCCAATACAGTTAAGATTAAGACTTCATTAACCAAGAGTGAGTATTGAAAGATATAATATCAGGATTACTATTTCTTCTAATTGTTTTGGCAAACATCTTGGGAGTCCTGAGTAAGAAAAGGGAGTTTACTAAAAACTATTTCCTGAAAGTGTAAAAGATACAACACTAGGAAGGGTTTAACTACCCTTTATTCTTCAAAGTTTACAGCTGCTACTGCACTTTGGGATACAAAGACCAGTACTTATGGTCTGAAAAGTAAAAAAATAAGAATTGCAAACTAACTAAGCTTAAATAAGAGCTAAAACCTCAAATACTTTATATACTAAAAACAAAAGACAAGAGATATACTAAAAACAAAAGACTAGTAATGCTAAGATTGGCCTTTTAATATTTACGTATGTAGTACGCAGAATGCGGGAAAACAACAATATGTCTTCAGTATCAAGAGAACTAAATTTCTGGCCTTAAGGGCAGACAGCAACTGACTGAAAACTGCGCATGAGATAAGGTAGCGAGAAGTCTCTCTCTCCATCTAACTCATTCTTGGCTAAAGGCCACAACTTAAATACTTAACAGTTTGCAAGCTCAATTTGCATAACTAAAACTAACTGCATTTATTCTGGCCAGAAGTGGAAAATAAGAGGGGACAGTAAAAGTTTTAAAATAAAATAATGTTAGTAAAACTTAAAAAATCCTTACAATAAAATTAAGAAATCACATAAATTATGAATATTTAAATTCTGGATATAAAAGCTGAGCATATTACAACACTTATTATAACCAGCATTTAACAAACCCTGGCCTGTACTTTTCAGCTGTCAAGGAAAACCATAATTCTAGCCTTAGGATGACAAAGTTTTAATACGCTGAGCTCCAGTACTTTGCTACCCAAATGACTCATAAAATTATCAGTTTCTGTTGCTAAAGAAACTTTTTTTTTTTTTTTTTTTTTGAAAGAAGCCCAAGTGTTGAAATTCAGTCCCTTTTGGAAAGTGTGCATGCATTCACAAAACTATTTACCTTTTTTTTTTTTTAATCTTTCATACCACACCTTGCTGTTATTAATTTACTCAACTTTTGTTTTGATTTGTTATTTCATTTAATTTTTAAAATGCATCATTTTAATTATTACCTATTAATTATTAATTTAAGTTATAACATTACATCCTTTTTAATTTAAATCGCTCATTATTTGTTGTTTTATTATTGCAAAACAGATTTATTTCTTTACCTCTCCCAATGGCTTTTATAGGGCTCTGGTGCTTCTCGTTTTAGAAACAGATCCTTCGTAATAATCAAAATATACAAAGATCAAAGAAATTCAGAATTTACAATTTTGATAGGCTTATTTTAGCACTTCTTAAAAGGGAATGCTTATATTCCCTAATTAATGTACACAATAGTAATTATAATAATGAAAATTATTAAACAAGCTTGAAGGCTTCATGATATATATCATTTTTACAGAGAAGTCCAAATACATAGCTCTCTTACTTCTTCAGCTTAATAATTTCATTCAATTTAGTGAATTTACCTAAAGATAACGATGATAAGAATTTTCAGTCGCAAAGCTGAATTGGAAAGTATCTTTATGAGAAAATATAACACCAGCATTACTCACAGCATTTGCAAAATCTATGTGAACTAAGAAAACATTTACGGTATATCTGGTCAACATATCATAAAATCATACTGTAGTGAAGACCAACTATTAATAGTTTTATATCTCAGTTAAGTACTTGTATGTTTAAATATAACAAACTAAAATACAGAACGAAATCAAAGAACACAGCACTGTCACAGTTTTAAAAACATGTTTTAACATACTATTTTAACAGTAACTAAAATATACTGATTTTTATTGACAGATTATTATTACAATTTTACGCAAGTTACACAAGGCAGCTGTAACAGAAAGGGGATAAAACTATGAGGCTTCACTCACAATTATCAATAAATCTGACAGTAAATGGAGTATAAAATGAGAAGAATTAAACTTTTACAGTAACATCACATTTCATTTTATGTTTGGGAAAATTCACATAAGAATAAAACCTACAGGATATTTGTGAACATCACAGAACAAACTTAAAATAATTCATATACCAAGTTTCTATGTGAGGAAACAGCTATAAGTATTATGCAATTAAAACAATATAAACAGTCCTAATCAATATTCAAACCTGAGTATAGTACAAAGAACAGGTTTATGTATAAAAATACATATTTTTTCTGGTTTAGGTCTTTGTCACAAAAACATTTTTCATTTAGAGATTGATAAACACTTAGTAGTAAACTTCTTCAGACACAATATGAATAATAAACTAATCCAATCGCACTTGTACCAAACCAAACAGCACAAAGCCACCATGTCATGAAACCCAAAATACCGCGGTATAGTACTGGCGTGAAGACTCTTTTCAAACTAAGAAGAGTTAGTGAAAATTGCTGACTAGATTCTAAAATGTCACTGCTCACAGGCAATGCTGATGTTTTAAGTGTGTTATTAGTAGTCTCCATTAAAGATTTTGTGCCAAAGTAGCTTCCCCATGTGTAATCACCTAAAAAGCAAAATTTTAATGTTACAAAATAACATACACATGAAAATCACAAGTTCAGCATTAAAGTTGGAAATTTATGTTTTTTATTCCACTAAAACTAATATATAAATACCAAAATTACACATGATTGTGTCATTAACAGCTAAAAACATTAAAGAAAAGACAAATTGAATTAGCAAGTCAAAAACGGAGATGTATGCAAATAAACAGTTTACTGATCCCTCAAAAGGCAAGCTAGTTGTATTTTATTACCACTGAGTGCAAAAAGCTGACTGAAACTAAGTGCATTCTGATGCCACAGTAATGCCCCAGTTGTGACAACAATTTAATAAGATTTCTGATATGCAAAGGAAATGATGCTAAACATGTCCAAGGTAATGCAAAGAATGACCACTATTTAGATAACCAAAAAGCATGAGCTATGTACTGCCAAATTCACATCTTGCTCAGCCACCATTAGCAAACCATATATCAAAGAGTTGCTGAGGTTAGTCTGTATTTCTGGGTCACTTTCAATTTTTATACTTCTCCCAGCTCACTGTATAGCTTGTTTAAAACTTCTGCAGGCAGCATTATTTAATGGATTGGTAATGAATAGACTCTTGTTGTCTTTACTGATGAATTAAGTTTCAGCTTCAAAATGATTACATGTTTCTCAAGAAAGAAACAAGAAACACAATATCACTTATCATAATGAAGGAATAACATTCTTAACATGCAGACAGTTTATTATTGTGGGTAGAATAATATTAAATGATCACCTTTGTACATTCTCCAGGCTTGGATTGAATTATTTAATGAAAACAAATAAAGTAAGTCATAATTCCTGTTAATTGATGATAATACTAATCCAATTAATGGTGTAATTGAGTTGTTAATAATTTCCTTCAAATTGAAAATACTCAGTGAATGGTCTGGTTAATTAGAGCCCCAAGCAGAATGCCAGCTATGGCAGAGAAGAGATTAGATGACTGTTATCATCCACATTCCTTCATGAATTATTATGGACACTTCTTAAAAATTGGATTCATTGGATCTAAGATAAAATAAATAAAATTTTTATGAACATGTCTTATCACTGCCACTTATTTCTAAGAAGTTTTCTTACTCTATTACATTTATCATGTACACAAGAAGTTTTTCTGCTATTCTACAGTTTCATACGCTGAGTCTTGTTTGTATGAACTAAATGATTTTCTTTCCATTTGTTAAATTTTACTTCATTTCATCACTGTGTACCTACATAAGCATCCACTTTGTATATTTGCTTAACATCCATCTTCTTCATTCAAATGTAGCTTTTGGATTTTATGTGTGTACACACAATAATAATTAATAATTATTAATTTCATAGTATTAGAGAAAAGCAAATGAAAGTTATAAATTAAAAGAACTAATAACAATTGCATTTATTCCCCAAAGAAGAATCAGATGCATTTTGATACAGAAATTACTTTTCATCTATAGTAACAAATACTTCCCTATAAAAGGGAAGGAGGAAAAAATACTGAAAGATATAAAAACTGGAAAAGTCATAATGCCATCTACTGAAGGGGGGAGGGAGGCATACAAACTACAAACATTAGTGCATGTAAAGGATTATAATTAGCAGAATTTTTTCTACAGATTTGGAAATGTTCAAGAATATTCAATTCATGAAAGTAAACTTTAAAATAATTTTATGAGAAGGAAATTAAAATGCATTGTCAAAAGACAATAATGATATGATTCACATGATCTGTGAATATTTTATTTCTAAATATAAATTTTATGTCAAAAAAAATAAAATATTAATGCAAAAATTATAAGACCCTAGTTTAGTTTAAATATTATATAATAAGCCAAACTAGCATGAAATGCTAGAATTTCCTTAGGAAATCAAGTATAGAGAAGAATATTTAATGCTAAATTGATGAATTTTGCTAATGGGAGTAAAGATAACTTGCGAGTTATATTTACAAACATTTTTTTTCTAGCTTTCTTTTTAATAGTAATACAATAAAAGAAACTCATTTAACTGCCTTAGTACAATTTGCTGCCAAAAATCAGTTATTAGCATAAATATTTGTTAGTCATAACTTATATCTGAACTGTTGGTAGTATAAGGGATATAAGTGTCTTAATCCCTGAGCTATTCAAGGACCTGCTGCAAATATAAAATATATAAAATTTTCAAAAATTATATATATAATTAATAATTTTTGAATACCTTTCCTAAATTTCAACTATAGCTAGTACTTAGGACATTTACTTAACAGTTTAGAATGTAAAAGTTAAAAAATAGAATAATTCAGTCATATTTAAAACTATAATGACACATTTATGTATAAAAAATCCAGTGTCACATTTTTAAATAAACTTTATTAATGGAAGTAAATCATCAATAATATTAATAATACTTACCTAATGTCTTCAATAACAGAGTAGAAAACAGACATAGCATTAAAGGTGTTAAATATTGCAATGTGACAACACATAAGTAATAAAAAACTCTTGCAACCTAAAAATAAAACAAAGCTAATTAAAGAAAAGAAAACTAGTACAAACATATAGATTAATCTTACAAATTTAAGAGGTAAAAAAATAATAAGAATAATTTACTGTACATGCATGAATGCCAACTATTAACAAGAAATGTTACATTTGAAAACAAATACACCTTTTGCCACACATTTTATGTGTATTCACTGTTTTAATTTAATTAATAACATTACATTACTTTTATAATTTAAAAAAGAGTATGACACATGTACCAGCTTATAAAGAAAAACAACATAAAATGATATAAGCCAGTAGCCTCAAACTGGTAGCCCATGGGTCACATGTAGCCCCTGAAGCAATTTTATGTGCCCTGTAAATACATTTTAATTACATATTTGTTTCTCATTTATTATTGTTAAATTTCAAAATTTTAGTTATTTGAAGTCTGTATTTACATTATCATTAAAAACAAACATGAATACCAAACCAGAAAATCTGTAAATAGAGTTAATTAATATAGTGTAATATGAGTTGCATTCAAAGACTTGAAGATACAGATTTATTAACTTTTTTCATATTTGTCAAATATAAACAAGTTCAATTATGACTTCACTAAGAATAATTGCTTTGTTTGGTATTTGTTTGTTTGTTTGGTTTGGCATGAAAACAGATTTTTTTTTCACAACTGAATATTAATAAAAAAAGAATCAGATTGATTGATAATCATCTACAATCTGTGATGAAGATAATTTCTAGGAATTTCTTTCTAGCTACAAATTTTATCAGTATCAAAACAATATTAAGTGTTAAGCTGCAGTAAGAAATATAATTTATAATTATTTACATACAAACCTGTGTATTTTTATGCATACATTTAAGAAAAAAAATTACGAATAAAAGAAAGAGAGTAGGTTGTCATTATTTATTCTCAAGTTTCGTTCTATTTGGAAAATTTCCTTTCAAATCTTAGAAATTTTTTCCAATTTTGATTATTTTTAGTTTAAATTAAAGCAGGTCACATTTAGTGATTATTTAAACATGTTAGAATTATTTGAAATAAATGTCATTCTGAAGATATAATATTTAACTGACAAATATTCTGTGCAATCAACAAAAATATCTTGCAAGTACCAAAATTTAGATTTAAATATAAATTTGAATTTTTCTTTGTGATATTATTATTATTGTTTATTCAGTCATATTTTGATATTTTGATTTGATTCAGTAAGAAAAATTAAAAATTTATTTAAAAAAAAAATTCTGGACCATGACCTGTTTTCAGACTATGCAATGGACCTGCATTACAATTTGAATTTGAGACTACTGATATAAGTAAGGGTATGGTGAAAAGTCAGAATTATGCAAATCATGCTATAGTATCATTAAAAATAATTACATTAAATTATTAAGATACAGCATCTACAGAGCCACTCAGCACATGCAAGTTTGAAAGAGTTAAAACTCTTAAAACTAGCATACAAGATCTCTTTTGCCCTAGTGGTAGAGAATTCTACTCCCATGTCACAGCCTCAAGTTCTGTTCCCGAGGCCAAGTGGCTTTTCGCATTGCACTTCTGATTCAACCTACAGATGTTGCCACAAGGAAGCCTCCACTGAAAACACTGAAAGCAAAGAACACCAATGAGCTATAAATCACCTCAGCCCTGTGGTCACTATAGTGATGCCCCTTTGATGTGATGGGAACACACACCTCCTTCAACCACCTAGCTGGGAAAAAAACTGACAAATTGTGTCACTTGTGCTACCCATGGCACCTCAATCCACAAGTGTTCAATGAGCCCAACTAGCCTTGCCCAAATGAACACAGCTCTACACAATGATTAATCACATCAAATGCAGGGTTTAAAACCTGGAAAGAAGCCCTCCCTCCTAATTAGCACACAGATATGGGGGAGGGTGTTTGGTGTCTGTGGAGCCATTCAGAACTACCAAGTGTGAAAAGAAGCAGAATTCTTGAATCTAGTACACAAGAGCTCTTTTGTCCAGGGGTGGAGAATTCCACTCCCAGTGTCACAGCCTTAAGTTCTGTTCCCGAGGCCAAGCAACTTCTCACACTGCACTCCTGATTCAACCCATAGATGTCGCCATGAACAAGCCTCTGCTAAAAACACAGAACAACAGTGGACTACAAATCACATTGGTCCTGCGCCACAACCAAAACACAGAAATGATACAATCTAATTTAAAATTGATTTGATATACAAATATATGAAAATTGAAAAACTGAATTAAACATACCATTTTTTGAAGTTCAATATTACTTATTCGTCCAGCTTCTTTCCTTAAATTTTTCAGTTTCTCAGGAGCCATATTTAAGTAGGACTGCAGGTAATGTGGCATTAATAAAAATCTGACAGCAACAGTAACAACCATCAAAACCAAACGTGTTGTATCAAATGCATCAGGAGTCATTCTAATAAGAAAAACAAATATTTAGTGTCTAGTTTAGCATATATGCTGCATGCCACAAAATTTTTCTTACACTGCAATAAAAAATATTAAAGTTTATTCCCTTCAAAAAAAAAAAAAAAAAAAAAAAAAAAAAAAAAAAAAAAAAAAAAAAAAAAAAAAAAAAAAAAAAACTGAAAAGTTTCAGTTTTAAATTACGTCTAAAGGAGTGTTTTAAAAACATTTTGTGTGTTTCCTTTGTTTATTTAATATCATGTTCACACTTAAACCATAAAATTTAGTTCAACAGCAATATCGCAAAATAATTTTAAAATGAGCATATCTTTAAAATTTCCGATACAGATACAGAGTCTTGCACCTGGAGATATAAATGTTTCTTTTTGCATACAGTGTTCCCATTGCTCACTTTGAAATTGTTTAGTTTATTAATAAAAAATTTGTTGAAGTGTTACAAAATATGAAATCGATAATAAAACAAATTTCAAATAACTAAAATTAGGGCTTCCACATGCCCATATTCTATCAAAGATTATGTTATTCAAATTTTGATGGCTCTTTGAAACGCCTTCTCCGATGAGCAGGCATTAATAGTATACACTGTAAACGTGCAAACAAACTACCTTGTACAGCCTCCTGGTCTCGATAAAATGCAACATCGGTCATTCAATTGCCTGTTCCATGTGTCTTCATTCTCCCGCTGTTTGGTGACTGTTCCTTCTTGTTCTATAGAGCAATATACGGGTCATCTGCTGCTGTGGTTGCTCGTAGACAACCACAGCATCAGACAACTGTTCCTGTAGTTTGAAATGCTCTCCAAAGTTATGAAATAATGCTGTAAGCAATCCCAAACTCCACAGCTACACTTTTCACACTTCGACCTTCCTCAGTCTTTCCAATGATTCGGCCTCAGGTAAAAGTATCCAGATGTCATTTAACAGATTTATCGTTCAATATTTCACACTGATGCAGCAACTTGACATCATTTAAACTGATATACACCAAGCAATAGTTCCCCCAAAATGCTCAGCTCATACTTCCAGAGATCTTTATACCCCTCCAATACTCCCCCAATACATCTAGCTGCATATATGCACATGTGCTAATGTACCTGACCCTAGTCAATCTCCTGATCAGTCTTTCAATCCACTCTGCCTCTTCGTTCCACTAATAAGCTATTTGTCCAACTTTGTCCTTAGTTTTTGCACACCAGTGTATGTTTGCATGCAACAGATAAGTCATCCTTCTTTTTTTTCTCTTCAAAACCTGACTGTAGCCAGGTTGAGCTAATACATAAATACCATAAAAAGTATGATATTGATTTAGAATTTAAAAGTATAAAATTACTATTAAAACATTTTGATGCTTAGTTTAAATAACACATGCCTAAATAATAATACAAAAATTCACACATATTAAAAAATAAAATATAACACATATTGTTTTGCTACATATTTATGAATTCATCTGCCCTTGTACTTAGATTAAGCAACAGCTTTAGAAACTATACTATTTCATAATTCAATACGACACAGAAATTAAAACTGATACATAATAATCCCAGATTTACTTACAGAGTTCCTGGAATACCTGGCCATGTTCTTTCTGTAAAGTAATGTCTTGCTACAGGTTTGACCCACATTAATACAACAAAGACAGGTAAAATGAAACTAATGTGCAGAAGTGTCCTGAAAAATAAATTTAAAAGTAAAAATATCTCATATTTTCTTTCACTCTACGATGCACTTTTCTCACATTAATCAGAGAAGAGATTCAGCCCATCTACGCCAGTTCACTAAAACTAATTCCTAATTACTTTTCATTCCACAAATCAGTTATAAAAGTGAATGGTAATATCTATACACGCAATTCATAACAACTCAGTTAGAAGTAAATTACCATTTATTTAACAATGAACCAACTGTTAAATTATTTGAATTCGTCTAACTTTAATAATCAACAGGTTTTAAAAAGCAATGATGTATAAAAAACATACATTCATAATCAAACACTGTTACTTTAAAATTTTCTGCAAGTGTTCATAAATGATTGCTTTACAAATTCAAAATATATTTTGTCCCCCCCCACCACACACACAAAAAAAAAATTCTGTAAAAAAAATCTGAAAGGTTTCACATTTTAAATTACGCCCAAAGAGGCTTTTTTTAACATTTTGTGTGTTACCTTTATTTATTAAATATCATGTTCCTTGTACTTAAACCATAAAATTCAGTTCAACAGCAATGCAGCAAAAAAATTTTAAAATGAGCATATCTTTAGAATTTCCCAATACACAGTTCCGTGCGCTGGAGATAAAAAGGTCCCCCCCCCCCCCCCGTAGAGTGTTCCCATTGCTCGCTTTTAAATTGTTAACTTTGTTAATAAAAAATTTGTTAAAGTTTTACAAAATATGAAATCAATAGTACAACAAATTCTAAATTTCATATTTGGGCTTTCAGATTCCCATATTCGCAGCAGGATTACATCATTAAAAATTGGATAGCTCTAGGTACCGCTGTTTTATCACAATGCGAGAAACATACAAACATTTATGCAGATTCTTCATTATTTAATTTCTTCAAATATAATACAGGGCGATAATATTTGTTGGCAAAGATTTGAAAAGTGATACGCTGTTTATACAGTTTCGACGTAAAATCACAAAATGAAAATAATAGTCCTTCAGGGACAAAGCACCTTTGGACTAATAAAATGCATACTCAGTCATTAATAACTTTCTAAAATTTATTATAACATTTTAATTGACATTCAGATTCATAGAAGCTCACGAAGCAAACAAACATACTGTTACAAAATGCCCAGCCGTGGTAAGATAGCTTCCCCATATATAACCCTGCCTGTCAAGTTCATCATGAGTTTAAGCGTGAAGAGTATCTTGAGCTCCAAAAGCTATCGACCAAGTCGGGAGCTGTGTTTAGTGTTTTGCCATGATGGCTAGTAAAGCATCTGAAAAAGGGGGAAAGGCTGTTGCATTCTATGGGTTCGTGGATTTGGAGTGCGTTGAGCTCTGAGAGTGATTAACCAAGTCAAGAGCTATATTTAGTGTTTTGCCGTGAAGCTGTCTTCCCCGTTGTAGCTTGATAGGTGAACTCAATACATGATGTCAAAAAACTACAGAGTGGTGAACAAACTCTTTCAGATCTTCCTGTGGATGAAAAGTCTGAAAGGACTGAATCTTTGAATCTTCAGACTGTAATATGGAAAACAAGAATTGCAGTGAAAAAGTAATTAACCCGGGTAAAACTTAGTGAAAAGACTGAGACTGAAATTACTTCTTAACTTTATATAATTTAAAATTGTTATGTAGTTAATTTGTGTATGTAACTTGTAAATATTTGTTTAGTTTATCTTTATTTACCTTATTTGTTTGTTTTGTTACGTTTCTTTACTTACCTTATTTGGCTTCTGACCAAGGATTGTACTGCCCAGGACATGCAGTCCTTGGGAGAGGGCAATGTTACGACATGCCTTGCTGCAGTAAGATAGCTTCCCCGCAAAGTGGATTAAGGGTTGCCAGAAAATGGCATGGGAAGGCAGGGTTCCCAGATTTAGCCCATTTGGCGATATGCCATAGACGGAGTGAGAACATTCTAGAACGAATTCTTAGGGGTTTGCTCAAGAATGTTCTCGAAGCACGGAGTAGCAGTGCATCGTTGAATTTATCACGAAGTGTATCGTCAGTTTATCATGAAGTGTATCATCGAGTGCATCATGAGTTTTATTGTGAAAAGTATCTTGAGTGTGTTGAGCTTCGAGAGTGATCGACAAAGGCGGGAACTGTATTTAGTGTTTTGCCATGAAGCTGTCTTCACCGTTACAGCCTGATGGCTGCATTACTGATTGCTTCAGCATGTTTGTCATAGTTTTCCGATGACTGTAAATGTGTTTTTGGAACTATCTTGAGTAAGACTGGCTAATAAATTGTGTTTTGTTTCTTCATCAGGTGTTGTCATCAATACTCCAAATCCACAAACCCGTAGAACACATCAATATGATTTCTAATACTATTCTTGATATGCATGTCTATTTCTAAATTCAGTAACGAATTTTTTTTTTATCATGAAAAACTTTATATAAATTTCTCAAAAATTATAAATTGCATCAAATGTTGCAATACTACTCCTTAAAAATATAATAAAACTTGTTTTTCATACAATTTATATAAAGTAATCATGCTTCTTAATACACAAATAAAAATATTTCTTAATTATTGATAGTTATTCATTCTAAGAATTATATGTGATGTTTGTTCACTGCACAAAATAACTCCATAAAACAAAAACTGGGGAAATGCGATGAAATAATGCACACTGTTTTCATAAAATTCCCTTTATAATATAAATTCAAATAAATATTGTAGAATGCATTAATACAGATGTAAATTTTACAGTAAAAATAAAACAAAAGTATAAAATTAATAAGACGGGATGTCCAAAAAGTTCTCATCAGTAATATTACATTTTTTATGGGATTAAAGGAGTTAATCAATTTGGCAAGTGAAAAAGTTACAAAGTTAAATTCAGTGTTCAAATTTTTGAGTTTTTTTTAATAAAAGAAAAAGTTATTGTTATATATTTTTATTACAGATTTTTCATAAAAATGAATATTATCAGTTTTGCTATAATATATTATTTATTCATCAGCAATATAAATGATGTCTTCTTCATCAGCTGTATGGTGAGGTTTCATCATTTTGATTAATTTTCAAGTTCTTATACTAATCATGCTTAACAGAAGGAATAAATTTTAGCATGTCAATTCCCCCCCCCCTTGTTACAGTTCTGCCTTTAGGATATAATACATGCTGATCTACATTTTTCAATTCTGTGATCTACCTGGTACAAATTTACTTACATTTGAATTTTCATTATAATCACATTTGAATTTCATGGGGTGGAGTTTGAACCTTTCTAACTTTATCCAGCACATATTAAGCCACTTTACTGGAAATCTTGCAGTAGTTACTTTCCTATTAACAACTGAATTTTCTAAAGAATTCTCAGTAATTTTCTAAAGCACCGAGAAAAAATGTTGGTTAACCATTTGGATTACATTAAATGACATTTTCTTTCTGCATGCTTTGATTATATTGTACCAATCATCTGATGAAAAAAATTTAGATTTTTTCCGCATGTGATTCTAAAATCTGAATCATTAGGTAAATAGTTATGCACACTTACCAAAAATTTCATTTCAGTTAACTCAGCTCTTATTTCTGTATTTTGAACATGTTTCAATAAACTTAAGACAGTTTTGATATTTCTGTTTTGTCCAGTACATAAATGTAACAAAGAACATATTGCTAAATTAATAAAAAATTTTTAGCATAATTCTTTATGAACTTTATTAGGCATGATGAAATTTTTTGAGATAATGAGATCCTTCACTTTTTTGGCCAAACAAACATGTGGTTTTAATTTTTATTGAAATCATGGAAACTGAAATTATAAACATATGAAATTCGCTTATAACAAGCTACATATGTGTTCAGTTTAGGAAAGACTGAAGCTTTTTCAAAGTTGAAAGAAAATAAAAAATTCGATTGCTGCCATTGGATCTGCAGCCAATATGACTATGAGTCCATTCAGCCTCTAAATGAGTTTCCTTTTTAATTTCTGCCATCTGAATTCCCTCTTATCTGAAGCCTGAATTTTTATTAGCACAGAATTACAAGTTTGGCATGTATCCTTAGACATTTGGTTAAAAGGTAAATTACATTTTATAGAGAATACCTTAATATTATTTTGAATACCTCCATATATAGTAATATTTTTATTTCATTGGTTGTATATTTTCCTTTTCAGATTGTAGGATGGATAGTTCATGCATTTTCTTTAGTCAGAACTTACATATTGCTGTTCTATATTATGAGCTTTGGTGTAGTGATTAGTGTAAGCTGGATGTTTTATAGATACTTCTGCATCATAGTGGCCCCCAGGATTGAATCACCAGTCAACCAAGATACCTTGCCAAAATCTTGCTGTGTGTTTGTTCTTATACTTTGTCATGTAATCATACATTAGCACTGTGCTGCATTTTTGCTCTCACCATATGCTCTTTCTTATATTTTCATTTTTGATGAGGTTTCTGAATTTGCATTGTTTATTTAAAAATATATTCATTGCTTTTTTTAACAAGACATTAACAATCTTTAATTTACCAAGTAATGTGGTGGATGTCATGCTATTTTTTCAAGCCTTTTACCTGAGAAACCAGTATGTGAAAATGGCCATGATATGAAACTTTTAATGTTAATGATGAAACCATTTGGAAGTGCAATGCTAAAAATTGCAAAAAGAAGGGTCTCCATGTTGGAAATTGGTTCAGTGGTTCTAGAATATTCTTCATCAGTGCTATTAGATTTATATCATCTTGGACAAAAGAGTTGACATCCATGAAATGGTGTAACAAACAGCTTAATATGTGTGAAAGTGCTGCAGTTGACTGGAACAATTACATGCGATAAAATACGAAATAATATGGATAAGGATTCTTAAAATGATTGTTATTATTATATACTGTGTTGTTTATTTTTACAATTATGCTTCACAAGCTTGGTGCAAATCTAAAATCTCCAAATATGGCCATTATAATAAAGAAGTACCATTTTATAACATTTGTGTCATCTATTTTATTGCTTGCAACACGCCATTGCACTGATCGACCAAATACATAACTTGTTCTTTAGACCAACATTTGTATATCCGCCTGCCCCTCACCTAAAAAATGTCCCTAAAATATTTTTTGCAAACAGAAATACCACGTCAGTCTTTTCGAAAATGTAGCAAAGGAATGTGATCTTGGTTCTTTAGTGTGTAAAGGAATGTGTTCTTGGTTCTTTAGTGTTATTCGTGAGCCATCTTCTTTTTATTTCTTTAATTATATTAAAGAACATCACCTTAAGAAGTCAACATCTTAAGAAAATATTTTGCTCAAGCTGATTATGTAAACTATAAAATGCCTTCATGGCAGCCTCTCTCTGATCCGAAATAATTTTTTGTTCGACAAATGTTTTTGCAGGTATTAAATTTCCTCCTCTATTCCTGTAGGCCAGACATTCTGTTCTCTTATTCTTTTAAAAATTTTGAGTCCAATTATCAGGATTACAACTTTTTTTCCTCCCAATCAATGTGTTTGCTGCAATCAGATGAATCCGAAGAAAAACATAACTGTGTTCTTCAGCCAGACTTTCTGTTAATAAACTGTATCGGAGAATCATAAGATGATTCACTATTTTTCACATCCAAATTGTTATAAGTCTCATTCATCTTGATTTGAACAGTATAATATTTATTTTCTGAAAAATAATAGCTTCTGAAATAAATTATATATTATTCAATGGCAAAAATTTTTTTTTTCATTCAATGGTGTTGATTTTTAATTATTAAGGAAATTAATTTTAATTTAAAAAAACCTGTGAGTGAACCAAGTGCTCTGATACTTCAATTTAATACTATATTTCAAAAAGTGGAATTAATCAATTTGTGCAGCGAATAGCTCATGTGAGCAATGTGCTGACATATAATTATTATAAAACAAATTAAAATACAACAGAACACAAAAAAAAAAAAACTATAATTTAATATGGAGATTCCAGTTTAACATCAGCAGAACAAACAAATAGATCATTATTATTATTTTTTATATAGCTATGTTTTTTAGGAATATGCACATACATTTAAGAGTTATTCTCATTTGGATAATTTTCATTCTTAGTAACAAGCCAATAATTAACCACTAGCTGCAAAATAACCTCCAAAACTTACAAAATCGAAATCAAAATGCTTTCATAGCATAAAATATGATAGTTTGATAGATAAAATAAGAAAATGTTTTATGGAGGGAAAAAAAAGAAAGAATGAAAATCTAAAAGCTTTCAGATGTTATATTATGCCCCAAGGGGCATTTTTAACTGTTTTGCGTGTTACCTTTATTTATTAGATATCATGTTCTTCCCACTTAAACCACATACAATTCAATTCAACAGCAATATATCACAAAATATTTTAAAAACAGCACATCTTTAGATTTTCTGATACGTCTCACACGTTGGAGATCAAAATATTTTTTCCCACACAGTTTTGCCATTGCTTACTTAGAAATCATAGAGTAATCACAAATTCATTAAAGTTTTATAAAATTTGAAATAGATAATAAAACAAATTCAAAATTCAAAATTCAGGCTTTCAAGTGCCTATGTTCAGTTGGAGGACTACGGTATTCAAAATCTGATGGCTCTAGGTACCTTCATTATTTTTTCACAATGCGAAAAACATTCATACATTCATGCAGATTCTTCATTGTTTAGTTTCTTTAAATATATGGCAATGATGGCAGCAGTTTGAAATGTGAACCAAAAGTGAAACGACGCAATATGCCGTTTTGAGACGAATAGCCTTTTGGGTGTAACGCCCCTTTGGCCTTGAAAACCCATTCTGGAAGGGGGGAGTTTTAGTGCATTAAATTAGTTAATTATTTTGTTCCAACTTTTACATAACTTCGAACTGCATTTTTTTAAAGTCAATTTCCACTCATCTTTTTCGATTCTAGGTTTAAAAGCAGGGTTTAAAAAAATCTGTTATTTTTTTAATTCATACATTTAAGGAAAAACAACAGAAAACATTTCTATTTGTCTAATAATTCCTACTTGGTCTTGAATATCAAATTTTGCTGAAGCAAAATAAATATGATGTCAGAACTGGATATAAAATTTAAAAGTTTTCATATGCATGTGTGTGGTGGGGTTATGCAATACAGTGAGAGCACTATTAAGCCGAGCACGAGTTAAACATAACTAACAAGTTTATAATAAAATTAATGAGATGAATGAAATTATTAATGCTGAAATGAACATATAACTGGCGATAGATGAAATTGACATATGCAGCCATAACTCCACAATTAGGTTAATTCGACGAACAGTCACGGTTCACGTAATGATTAAGTCTCACAGAATTGTCAATTACGAAGGCATAACTGGAAATTTTAAATCTTTCCTCGATATAAACCAGACAGGGTATGTCTTGCCATCATTCATGGCTAGCTATAGACATCGTCCGCTTGGACCCAGAACCTAAGTTTTGCAGGAACACATCTTGTTCACAGCATGTTCAAAGCTCATCTCTCTCCCTGCGCTGTGCTGGCATCAGATGACGTCACAACTCTGGGCAGAAGCAGAATCAAAGGGTGTCGAAGAATATGCCTCCCATATATATACACACAAATAATAAATATTATTTATAGATAAATGTTTAAGCAGTAGTTTACTAGAATATTTGCATTTAGTGCTACCTTTATTATAAAATATATACTGATCACAATATGCTAAACAAAGCACATTTTACTTTACCTTCTACAAAACAATACAATTACAGATGCCCATAAAAATGCTTTTTTTTATTGAAAATTTTTGCAAAACTTTTCAAAGCATTCTGTAGATTGTGTCTGTGAATTAAAGTGCATTTTTTAACTGACATATTCTGAAAAGAATAATTTTTTTATCAAATAAATAAATAAATAAAAATAAAATAAAAAGATTTCAAGTGCATTTCACAAAGTTTTCCATAAAAGTGGTTATAGATCAATAAATACAGAATTCTACAATCAATAAAAAAATGAAAAATAAAAAATTCTTATTTATGTTTTTATAAAGTTCTGTTTAACCACTTATAAGTTATGCATTATCATATCAGCAAAAGGTCATAATTCTAACAATAGAATAAAGAAGATATGGATGGAAGTAGAAGAAATGAAGAATGGAAAAGTAAATTTACTCACTTTAAAAATGGTCTTTCTGAACAATAGCGTAATGCATCTTTATGCATTCTAGCAAATCGTAAACCAGGGAATGTGAAAAATGAACCTATTAATCCACACCACAGAGCTAGAGTTAATTTAAACATTAACTTTGATGCTGGTCCACTGAAAAAGTAAAAAAAAAAGTTATTAAGCCTGCAATAATAGAAATAAAAAATTCCTCATAGTTTCACCAGCAAACTAAAACTTATTAAGTCATAGGGTATTTCCTCATTAGAAGAATGTTATAATGGATAAAATATTCAACCTCCCATCATAAACTGAAACTGTAACAAAATGCTTGCATAAAAAATAGCAAAGTGTGGTGAAATCATATTACTCAAAAGAGATGGGGAAAAAAAAATAAATTTAGGGATCATACAAAGCACTGAAGGAATAATGAGATATTTCTAGTTACTAAATACAATAATAAATTATAAATAACTAAGCATATAAATGAAGGACATTAATCAAATAATAACAAAATTTTAATTTTTAAATACTTTTATAATACAGTGGAATCTCGATTCAGAACAGGCAATGCAGAGTAGAAAATGTCTTCACAAGAAGATGGAAAGAAAGATGTTCCTACTTATTTGATTCCCAATATTTGTGCAAAAAGGGACAAGGTGAAAAGGTTTGTAGAACATTATCATCTGGATAAAGCACTAGAAAGCCTCATGATAAATATTTGCACCAACAATACTACTGTTTGCTTCAGAAACACCTTAAAATATAAACAGCAAAAAATCACAGTGCACGAATTTTTCATGAGATGAAGCCTCAGTGACTTTCAAGTAGAGGCAAGCAGTAACATTTTGCCCTTTCGGCTTCTGCACTATTTTTTACTTAATGTCCTCAACTTTCCATACAGAGATAGATGAAAATCTAATGCAAGTTCTCTTATTTTTTACGTATTCAGTATTGCGTTAAATGTTGTGTGTGTGTTAATATTATGAAGGTAATATATTTAATGAATTTCATCAGATGACAAAGTATCTTCAGAAAAAAAATTAAGTTTGTCAACCAAGGTGTCACTGTATAACTGTAAAGTCATATCATGTTTCAACTTTACATTTATTTAAAATTTTAAAAAAATTTAAAAAGAGAGAGAGAGAAAATGAGGGGAGAGGGAGACAGACATATCGACATGCATTAAGAAGGGGAGAAATAAAACAATAAAAGTTGAGAACCACTATTTTAAATAAAACATGAACAAATTAATCAAAACAAAGAAGAAAATAATTTACCTGGAATTAAGCCCTTGATCTTTTAAGAAACTATGAGCACTTACATTAAAACTAGTATAAGCTGCGAAATAAAAATAATAAAGTTTGTATTTTTAATTTTTTTCCAATATATTTTTAGGTAATTGGCTTAAATAATTAATTACAGTACATAGAATATCAGATCAATGGAGTATTACCTGGCTCCAGACCAAACTCTAAAAAGTCTTCATCAGCAATGAGAACAATCATAGCAATAAAGAAGAATAAAAATCCAGCAGTTAAGCACAAAGAACGTTCTCCTACTGCTTCTTCCCCTCTGAAGTATTCCGCAGTAAGAGATAATAATATCTTACTATTGAAGTTAATGTGTATAAAAAGACTCAATACTGTTCAATATTTACATAATACAACATAGTACACTACAACATTTAACATTATAAACATCAGTACCTCTAATACAGCATATATATGGGATATTTATTTTACACAACATACAGCGAGTTCCTTTCTGTAAAATCTATCGTGTCTATTTTAAAATTGTGCTAATATTAATACAGTACAAAGTCCATAATCCAGACGTCCATTATCCGGAATGATCTATAACCCAGACCTCAAAGCCACAAACTTTTTTTTTTTGGTATGCTTTACTCATGCATGTTTAATGTATAACGGATGGTATAAGCTAGACTAAAATTATCTTTACTGATTCTAAGGCATTTCAGTTAATGTTGCAGATTGCGCTGTTCCTTAATCTTCTAATTGGATTTGGCTTATTATTTTTTGCAGACTGTTAGAGCAATTTTATAAAAAGTAAGCTTGAACTTTCGATTATGTCAAAAAGAGTTTCCAATTCTGGAGCTGCCAAAGGATCTACAAAGCGAAAGCATGTTTTGATGTCCATCAAACAAAAAGGTGGAGTTGCTGCAAAAAATGGATAAAGGCATATCTGTTTCAAAATTATGCTAGGAGTATGACATTGGAAAGTCAACTGTACATGACATAAGCAAAAAAGGAACTTTTTCAATTTTTGTGGGTTCCGACACCTTACTTGCAATGAATAACAGAAAAAGAGTTTGTTATGCTAAAAGTGACAATCATGACAAAGTGATGATTGAATGGGTCAGACAGCATCGCAGCGAGGGTGTGCCATTGATGGGTCCAATGCTAATGGCTCAAGCCAAAATATTTCATGAAGAAATAAACTTAAACACTGAGTGCACATATTCGACAGGTTGGTTAACCAAATTTTAAAATGGCCATGGTATAAGACAAAAATTTTATGTGAAAAAGCTTCAACTGATACTGAAGCTGCTGAACAATTTGCAGATGAATTCATTGAACTCATTACTAGTGAAAAATTATCTCCAGAACAAATTTACAATGCTGATGAACTGGTCTTTTCTGGCAATATGTACTGCGAAATACCTTGGCAACCTCTACAGAAAAGGCACCAACTGGTGTCAAAGGTTCCAAACTGAGACTGACAATTTTAGCGTGCGCAAATGCTGCAGGAACGCACAAGTGCAAACTTTTCGTAACCGGAAAACATGCACGACCTCGAGCATTTAAGGGAGTAACGTTTCCCCCATTTTATATCGTGCAAATAAAAGAGCATGGATGACACAAGCGTTGATGAATGATTGGTTTGAAAATCATTTTATACCTGAGGCTCAGCGACATTTGAATTCTGTTGGTTTACCTGATGACTCAAAAATAGTCCTGATTGTTGACAACTGTTCAGTGCATACTTCACTTAAAGTTTTAGTGAAAGTTAATGTATCCGTATTATTCTTCCCTCCAAATTATACATCTATCATTCAGCCTATGGATATGGGAATAGTGCATGCACCAAAATGTAGGGTTTTTAAAATCTATGTTAAATTTCTTGAACAATAGTAAGACTATTCAAGACTTTTTGAAATTCTTTAGCATAAAATCTGCTGTGTGGAGCATCGCAAGATCGTGGGAGGATGTGTCTCCAGATAAGTTAAAAAATGCTTGCCATAACTTATGGCCAGCTACCATATTTCATGGTGAGGATGATGAATATGATAGCAGCAAATTTGAAGGTTTTTGGACATTGCAAACTAAAGGTGAAATTTTCCAGTTATTGGATTTTGTAAAGAAATGTGGAGAAGGGGTAATAAATGAAGATGATATAACAGAAGTTTTTCATTGCAACAACATTGCCCCAATCATCAATCAATTAACGGACGGCAAAATCTGTAGTATGGTTCTAGATTCAGAAAATACTGCTTCCAATAGTGAAGAAAGTGACAGAGAGGTTACTGAAAAAGAAAAAATTTCGATTGACAAGTTAGTCAGTATTCTCGACACAGCAATTACAGTACTTGAACAGCGGAACTTTGTAACTGAACAAGAAATTATGTCTGTTTATAGAATTATAAAGAAAGTATTAGCACAAAACAATGAAGCAACTTAAACAACATACATTGAAAGAAATGTTTAATAAAGTATACAAATAAATATTAAGCTTTTTTTTTTTTGTAAATTTTGATACCCTTTAGATCATAATTGCTCTTTATTTCATAAATTACGGTTTCATATTTTTAACTGTATAATTTCTGCATGCCATCTTACCAGATTTAAATTGATGATCTATAATCCAGAAAAACCCCTAATCCGGAATCGAAGTCCCGCCGAGTCTGGACTACAGACTTTGTACTGTATCAGTGTATAATAATAGTCTCTTGTGTCTCTTTTAGAATATTAAAAAAATGAAAGATAATTATTAATGAAATCATGCAAGGCAATATGTATTCTTTTCTTAAATAGGACATACAATGCTATCAATAGATAAAATGTGACTGATCAATAACCATACACTAAAGCTGTCCTACAGAAGACTAAAACTAATACCTGAAAAACATAACAATCTACAAACATTATAAATACACTTTAGAAACTACTAGAAATAAAACTTTTGTATACTCATTTATAGGGATAAGTTTAAATCCCTAAATTCTCTGTACATTGAAAAAGATTCCAAATTTAAAAGTTAAAATCTTTGTGCTATTTTTATCATTTTAATCTGAACTTGAGAAACTGCCTAAAAATTCTTAATTCAAAATGAAATTTTATTTCAGAGTGCTATCCAATGAAATATACAAGAAATTTCAAGTAACTGGCAAGATGCACTCTTTTGCAAATTCCCAAAACTAACTCCTGAATTGTCTTGATGGTTCAGAACATAATCTACTTCTAATTGACCCAGGATGCTTTTAGCAACTCAATCCTTTGTATATAGAAGCTTTATCACTGATATGCCTTCTGCTGCTGAATTTTGAGCTGTTAATCAAAATTTGAAGGTCACATTTTACTTATTTCATGAATATTTTTTCAGCGGGACTTCAATATTTAAGAGATTTACTTAACTGGATTTGCATATTTTAAACAAACATACGTGTTTTTAAAACTGGCATCCTTAAATTTGTTTTTCATTATATGCAGTTTTTAAATTTTGCTTTACTTGAAGAACATTATAATATTAAGTCAATGATCGTTTTCTTCTTAATACTTAATATTACTAACAGAAGAATTTGGATTCAAGAACATCTACTTGTACCACCTCTACACATTTATTTAATTATTTAGGTCAGAATAGCATTATCTTAACAACAACAAAATGATATTTAGAAAGAACTGAAGGGTACAAAAAATATCTATTAATTTAAGCAGTAAGTAATTATCACATTCATCATATATGCTCTTCTTGTGTAGTGGCTAATGTGTATGTTCTTGTTGTACAGAAGTTATCACATCCAGGCTAACAATTAAAAGGCCCTTACTTCAAATCCCAGTGAGAATGCAGTTTTGACAACTCACAGGCACCAAAAAACCTAACAGTTTTTATAGTCATGCCTGAACAAAAAATATGATGGATGATAACTCATCATCATCTAGATTTGGTCGATTGGGTCTCACGCCTTTTTTCGGTCACCCTTTATGTAGTGTGTGCAGGAAAGAATATAAAGAACTATTGCACCATGTTTATATGCTACCCTGGTGTAAGTGTTTATTAAATCCAGCTAGCAACTGGAAGATCTGTGGTTGAAATCCTAATGAAGGTATACTTTGATTATTCATGTTTTTCAACACCACAAAAACCTAATAATCTTATGTGATATTCCTATCTACACTGCAACATACAATTTATGCAAGCTTTCAATCAGTCTTTTATTGAGATCAATAAATTCCATCCATTAATGATGTTACTTCAAAACACAAATTTTTACATAATTATAATAGCATATTCCGTTAATTTTTTTAATTCCTTTCTGGATTTTTTTATAATGTATTAAAATTTAAAGTGTGAAAAATGGCAATACATTCTGCTCCTTTAATGTTACTTTGACAAAAAATAATTTCTGTCTATATAAGTCCAATATTCTTTATACATTTGTTACTAAATTAGTTTTGCCAATTACTGTAATTAATATATATTAACTTTTCCATTTTATTTTATTCTAATATGTAATCATCCATCTGTTTCTACAAAATATAGTCTAAAAGGATACATGGCAAATCCTATAACGAGTATACACCAAAGAATGCTGAGATTCACTTCATCTTTAACAGGAATAAGAAAATAGTAAACTTCTGTAATAATGTACACAAATAATGCACAAATAGCAAAATCAAGCAACCACTGATATTCAGAGTAATAATGAAGCTGTATCATATCTTCTGGTTGCACTGCCGTAACATCAAGTTGCAATTCAATGTTTTTGGGTACCATAAATTCAGAATCTCCAGAATCATCTCTCCTGCAATGACATAAAAAACACAATCAATAAATCAAACGTTTATAAAATATTATTGTTAACATTCTGCACTTCTAATACATTACTTTGCAGAAAAGTGGTAAAATCATCGAAAACAAGATAAAATAATGTAGGTTGATACATTGAAACAGTGTTTAACTACTACCACTAATATTTAAATGTGTTTTAGTGTGCCAACTTAGAATATTTTATCTAATTTTCAACTCCATTTTGAATGTGTGTGCTAGTTAATTCTTCATTAAATGGTAAAATCCATACTACAAAAAATTAGGACTAAAATTATATTAAACTGAGAAATTGGAAAAACAGTATTTTGCTTCTCAATCCTCAATACTGGATTTGTCTTGTAAGTATCTGAACTGGCTGTAGTATGTCTGAAAGGTACAGTGAGTGGAAAAACTTGTGATGCAAAAATGCAGTGGGATGTTGTCGCAAAAGCACAACTAACTGTAATTGATTCTGAACAGTGAAAGAAAGCAGGTCATTTGCTCATATAAGTATTTTAAAAAAATTGAGCTTGCCAATGGGCGACGTAAAGTCTGCCAGGAGGGTCGGGCTGCGTCCCTCATAGCATATCATATATCAATCCGATTACTTTAAAGATCAACTTTGTATATAAAGTTGGCATATACATACAGTAACTTGATTCCTTCACAAAATTAATTTTTTTGGAATGCCACTTAAGGTTCTGCTAACAGTTTGCTGAAGCTCTTAAATGCTATTAAATTAATGACAAGACTTCATTTTAGGGAAGAGAAAACAATTTGCAAATACAAATTTACATGTAATGTAATGCAGCTTTGCTAGGAGCAGATTGACAAAAATATAACTGTATTACAGTGCTGTCTTCGATATTGTTTTCTATGTTTTACAGCAAACCTTCATAGCTATGCTTTGCACATGTGTTGAATCCATAACAAGAAATGTTAATGTGATTAAAACAAATGATTAACTGCAGAGAAAACTCTGTTTATAAGCAAACTATATTTTAGAAAAAACACGTTGAGATTTCACTGTAGTAAATGTTACAAATTATCATTTACCAAATTTGCTAAAATGCTTAAAAAAAAAAAAAAAAACCTAATCCTAAAACTGAATAGACTTACTGTAGTTCACACTTATTGATATACTAACACCAAAACTGCAAACAGAGTGTATTTTAGGTTTTATGGAAGAGGGTGATCAGCCAGGATGCCAAATTCAGAAGAATATCACTCTGCATAATCAGCATGTTTTGAGAATATAGAAAAGCTTCCTTTGGGAAATATTCTATCATTGTTTCATTATTGTTGGTTTATAGGAAAGGCGTTCAAAAACATTTTTGCCCAGGGTGCTAAATACAGTATAGCTGGCCATCACACAGCTGAAAAGCAGCTTTGCCTGTATCATTTGCACCTCCTCAAATACTGCTGCAGTTGAAGGTCAAATTTAAGAAGCAGAAAGGTCAATGCTACAAGCTGAAATATAAATCTTTTTCTCTACACAGCTCAAAAGCATGATATCTGCAATTAATGTGCTATTAATTAACTATTATGTTTGATGATGACTTCACTGACGGACTTGTTTACATTTGCCTTCAGAATTTATTGTTTTTTTTTAAATACATGCTATTCATATTACAATTTAACATTGCATTAACATAAAATGGTTGCTTTTAATGCACTACAATACATTGCATAATGCATTCATTACTACCAACAAGAAGGATGAATTGCAAAACATATTTCTATTTAACATTGTCTTTTTCATAAGTCAAAAACTAAACTTGCAATAAAATTTTGTACTTTTGGTAGTTATAATGCAGTTATAGTTACATTTTTGATTAATTACAGTAAAAAAATTAATTCCACTGCAATTAAATACATTGATTCATCTGAAGAACTTGCATAAAACAATATTATGCAATCAAACCTCTTTTAGATGTTGCTTGGACTGCACAGTGATCCACTCATCACCTTGCTTTCTCACAGCTCAAAAGGTACCAAATATTTCTCCATATAAATACGTTTTCCCCACTATTGGTCAAAGCAAAGCAAAATTCCACATACTATTACTAAGATCATACTTTTATTCTATTTTTATTGCCCTTTACAGCAGAACCATACAGTTCCCCGAGCTATTTATGCAAAAGGTTTTTCCAGAAGATATGAGATGATGTCGGAATCTAAAATTTCTTATTTTTTTCCTCTCTAGATTATTTCATACATTGAAGAAAGAAGTCATGTTTCTTTTTTTTGTCTCTTCTGGGAATTCTTTAGTGTCATGTGACTAACTGTTCACTATTTGAACTAAAAAATTCAAAATCAGATCAGTTTAAAAGTAGGTTTGGGACACTGCAAACTTGCAAACATTAATATTGGTGCTTTTTTTCCCTCCAAATTTATATTTTGAACAACTTTTTAAGCTTCATAAAATTCTATAAAGATTTTTCTCTATTAACATTAAACATAAATTGATTAAAAAAATTACAACATGGATATGATAAAAAACAGAGATAATAAATACTTATGAAATATAATTATTAACATAAGCTGCTTTTATTAATGCTAGATGTGAAAGCAACAGCACTCTTAATCTTAAAGGAAAACTTAAAATTGAGTAAAAAGTTTAAAGTAAAGATTACACATGAAGTTTCAATCAACTGAAAGCAATACTAACCTAATAATTTGAAAAAATAAAATTCAGCAGCATTCCAAGTTCATGAAAACCTCGTAAAAGTAATATATCTACAAGATTCCGATCTACAACTATTTTAAAACAAAATAAAACAAATGCCATGTTAGTGAATAAAAATTTTTTCATTATTTCTCTAGATTAAATTATGAGCTAAATGAAAAAAAGTCTTAAAAAATCAGTGTAACTTCAAGTAATATGCCAGTTTTAATCAGTTAGAGTGAAGTACTGGCATGATTTCTTCTTCATTACTTAACAGCCCATGGTCATTTCTGGCCTTCTCCAAGCCTCTCTGCTTTAAAGAATTACTCTTCACTTTTGGAACTTTAGAATGCTTAGGTTATCTTCTACACAATCGACCCATCCACGAAGGGTCTAACCTGAGATCTGGTACCCATGGCCTTTGCCAGAAAGATTTTCTTATAACATCGATGAATTTTGGTCGAATGACCAGCCCATTTAAGGTATCCGACCTCGTTCGGGTATCATTTTTTTTAATAATGGTTTTTATTTTAACTATAAACATATTAATTTGAAGATAAGCATATTAATTAATTAAAACAGCTTAAAATGTAAGGCTGAGTAGTTTTAACTTAATGAAAAAATATTAAAATTAAGTTAATAATGAAAAAAAAAATAATGAAAAAAAGGATAATTTTTCCTTTACTGCAACAACCATGGTGAAAAATTTATATATAAATATGCAGTTTTTTTAATTTGTATTTATATTTACACTTGTTTTGTATGCAATGAAGCAAAATAATTAAGAAATATTCATATATACTTGAGATATGTCAAAATGTATAGTATTTACTGTATATTTTCCTATTATTGCATCCAAAATCTAAAAATAAAAAGTAACAATTCAACTTCTAATTAATATTTCTAAAATCTTCCACTTCAGAGCATGCATCAAATTATATGAAACATGTATAGAAAGCAAAGAATTTAATTTTATCGATAAAATCTTGAGTTATGGCTGTTACTATTGGCAATATTTACAGAAAAACATTTTTCAGAAAACAAGTTTAAGTTTTCATAAAACAATTTCTTAGTGAAAGAAGTATCTCTGATAATTAAAATTCGCCTGCTTTGTAACTGACACCTTATTTTTTATTCACACACTTTGCACTTTTTCTTTCGAACAAAGCGTAAATTTTTATTTGGGTTTGTGGAATGCCGCCAAGAGCCATGATTTTGCACTAAGCTTTCGAATTCCCTGCTCAGTGTAAAATTCAGGATACATACCAAACCTTGAAAATGCTTCAAGCAAAACTATAAATCCATCATTAAATAACATTAAATAACACGACACTTACATTTGCTCCAAACATTAATGTTCGCAAGTTTATGAATGTTTCTTTCGGAACAATTTGCAATAAAATGCCTTTAAAATGTTCCTTGATATTTTGAGTTTTGCCATGTATGCACTTCTTAATAACTCTTGTTTATGTAATCAACTCCATATATGTAGGTTTAATCAAAATATATGTTGATATACCAGAGGCTTTTGCCTGATTTTTTTTCTTCCTGATTTTTTTCTGATTTCTGCAATCGCACATTCCAACTCATTGATTGAGGAGAGTATTGGCTTCAAAGGAGAACTACAATGGAACAAGCAGCTAGTACAACATGCTGCATCTCAATTAAGTTTCCACATTACTTCTAATTGCAATCCCTAATTCTGCAGTTTATCAATAAAAGAATCAGCCGGTTTAGCTTTTCCTTTCAATTCAGGAGTGGAATTTTTTACTTTTCGTAGTCTACTACCAACCCTTTTCTATAAATGTCCAATGCATTCCAGTTTCTTGACGGAATCTTTACCTTATATATCTTTCACAGTTAAAAATCCCTTTGAATCCCCATCCTCATAATACTCCGTGTACTTCAGCTTTCGTAAAGTAATAAGTCACTCAAAAAGCGCATAAGCACCAACTGCTTCCATTCCCGAGGCTGCTTTTTTATAATTTGCAGAACAATTATGTTATGCTTTACATACGTCGTGCTGAAGATTGCCTTCCATTCTGTTTATTTTGTTGCAATTGATGCAAAAATGTGACATAGCTTTCAAATCAAGCGCTTTGTCAACGCTAATCGACAAAGCAGCAACACATCCATTCAACGTCGAATACCCTCTGCGCCAAACTAAATACGAAATTAAGGGAAAAAACTATCGCCGGATTCTTAAAATGTAATACAAAATATCTAAACTTAGTACGACGGTTTATAATTTACAAAATCTTGATAATAAATAAGGTTTCTTAATAGGTATATCTATTTAAACGCTCACTTTCGGCCTAGAATATTGGAACTTCCGGTTCATTCTGTTACAGAAAAACGCTTATAATTCAGTTCTAATTAACCTATCAACAAGCAGAAACTTGTATTTCATAGCCAAAGATGTATTCTTTAAGATAATGTAATAAAGCAAAAATTGAAATTTTGACCGAAAATCGTCTTTTGTACGAGGTCGAATACCCGACCCATCCACGAAGGGTCTAACCTGAAATCTGGTACCCATGGCCTTTGCCAGAAAGATTTTCTTATAACATCGATGAATTCTGGCCGAATGACCAGTCCATTTAAGTCTCTATAGTTTGAGCAATATGCTAATAAACCAAATATGCAATATTTAAGAAGATAGATTTAAAAGATTTCAAAGGTAATCCTTGACATGTGATGATTTTCATATCATGATGGCCCAAAACTAAGATTAAATATTCTCTAATTTAAATTGACCACCAGCATACACATACATGCATTATTTTTTACACTCAATGCAGAAACATCACTCTACCTACTAAAAGTGTGATGCGACCTTTGTCAATGGTCCTTTTGCATTATTTGCTTGTTGTGCTAAGTAATAGAATATGCTTCTGCAAAAAAGTGTGATGCAGATAATGCACTTTTTGAAAAATATGATATTGATCAACATATCCAGAATGCTGGAATTTCATGGAAAGAAGCCTCAGAATAATTCATGACATGAATTTGGAAAAAGCTGTTACTACAAAAAATATTAGAAGTGTGAATTCAACATGAAATCTTGAAACAAACTGGCAAAGAAGTGGTTGAAATAGAGCCTATGCTTGATTAATCACGTACTGATGATGATTTGATTAATTTTCAAAATGAAAGATTTGAAGAAGAAGAAAGGCATAATGAAGAGGATGAAAGAAGAATTATAAGAATTTACTACAAAAAGATTTTCTGAAATATTTTATAAATGAAACCACAGTTTTCCTTTGCTTGTAAAAATTAATCAAAAGATTGGTCATTTTGCCAAAGTTAAACAGCAAATTTGAGAAGTCTACATTAATGAATTATTTTATTAAAGAAACTAGTCCCAGTTGCAATGAATATCAAAACGACATTAATTATTCATTTGTTACTTTCAATGAAAAATATTGCTCATATGTTTACGTGATTTTGTTCATGTTAACTAATTACAGGAAGAATATAGATTAATTTTACAACATAGGTTTGCAAATGCTTATGTGTATGCAATAAGAAAAGAAATGTTTATGATTGCCATATTACACACATTGTTATATTCATTTTGTGTTAAACAGACACTTTATTTACCAATTATAAAAAATATCAAGACCTAGATAATTTGGGACTTATGTCAGACCCCATTTGTGATGGAACCATTGGAACTGCACTCGCTGTAAGCCAAAGACTAATTTATTATGTCTTCTAGTGAATAGAACAGTAATTTAGTTAGAATAGAAGACAAACACGCTAATGTGGCAATCAAAATCGCAATAACAACCTTGTATTTAGCGCACCTATATTAAAACACTCAATCGATTTCGAGGGCAGACTGATATCTGGTTACGACCACGTGCAATGTGCTGATAACGACCACATGTTTCTGAGCCCCCTTTGCCAATGCTTTATTTTTCTTCTTTTTTCCCCTTTCTAGTTATTTCGTTCTACTGATGAGGAGGGACCTTTAACTTGCCCTCAAAATTGATTGTTTTAATATACATACAGTAAATACAAGGTTGTTATTGCAATTTTGAGAGTAATTTAATTGCAGAAATCTTAATGAGATCCATGAAAGCATTTCAAAAGATAATATATATATATATATATATACCTGTCTTTACCCTTTTTCCCTTTACTTTTTCCTGGATTACGTTGCAGCCCAGCCACAGACAACAGCTCCTCATCAGATGGATGAAGGTAACGCATAAGCCTGAAAATTTTACAATACAAAGATTAAAAATATATAATTAATGTTACAAAAGTATTAAAAGAAATTTCTGAAAGCCATGATTATGAATGCTTTAAAATATAATTTAATCCATTTACAACAAAGAGTCATAATGGTATAAATCAGCAGTTCTGATTATTGGAACTAATCACAGTTTCTAAATCTTTCTTTCATTTGATGGTAAAAATATCATGACCACTTTCTGTGGGAAACTTGTAACACTTGTCAAGAACAGTTTGCAAAGGGAATAAATTGTTTAGAATTGAAGTGGCATAAAGTCACACTTACATCATACGATTTCTAAACAACTGGTTCTCTGTATTGCTTTTGCATGTTCCTACATTAATTACATCCAGATGGACAGTACAAACAGGACATTTCTTCGGTACTGAGCTAAACATGAATGAAATCCACTTAATAAAAATTATTTAATCTCAATGTGGGATCATTTTGCAGACTGGTCTTCACCAATAAATTTAATTTATATTTAAATGATTAAAAAAAAGACCTTCACATTGTTAAGTATAAACAAATTGGGGTACTTACGTATTAATGCAACCACCTAGATGCACTTTGGCCATTTCGTGATTTACTATCAACATTTATTGTAATTGGACAAAGCTTATCACCATATCAAAAGAAAACAACGTTTAGCAATTTAAAATGCAAATTTTAATTATTAGGTTAATATTCCATAATCGGGGTGAGCGTCAAAATTGGCGAGTTTTTTTATTTGATTTCGTTACGGTTTCCGGCTGTATGTTTTCTTGTGGCAAACCTAGAACTTTATTTCAGTAATAGTAAGAGTGTGAATTTAGCATAGCCAGAAAATTTTTTTAACAATTTAATTTTGAAATACTGTGTTTGTTTTTAAAAGTTTTACTGTTTATTATATACAGTCAAAAGTTGTTAATCCGGACTCGTCGGGACTTCGGCAATTCCGGATTATCGATTTTTCCAGATTATAGATCATCAGTTTAAATCTGGTAGGATGGCATGCAGAAATTACAAAATTAAAAATATGAAATCGTATTTTATGAAATAAAGAACAATTATGATCTAAAGGGTATCAAAATTTACAAAAAGAAAAAGCTTAATATTTATTTGTTTACTTTATTAAACATTTCTTTCAATGTAAGTTGTTTAAGTTGCTTCGTTTCATGTGATAATACTTTCTCTTTAATTCTATTAAACAGACATAATTTCTTGTTCAGTTACAAAGTTCCGCTGTTCAAGTCCTATAATTGCTGTGTCGAGAATACCGACTAATTTGTCAATCAAAATTTTTTCGTTTTCAATAACCTCTGCTACTTTCTTCACTATTGGAAGCGAATTATAATGACGAGGAACTTGTTTTAAATCATATCAAAGATGGAGTACATCGAGATGAAATACTACATTTAGTAAGGAATTATAAGCCAAATAAAACAAAAACATCTGCCCTGAAGATAAGGATAGTGCTGACAGATCAACTTCCAATTCATTGCGCGCCGCGGCGTTGCCCCCACCGAGCAGCGTGAAATTGATAAACAGATTTCGGATTTCGAAACATACTTTCGCTTTAGATCCTTTACATATTAGCAAATATATATCGGAAATTCTATTTGATATAATCGAAAGTTCAAGCTTACTTTTATAAAATTGCTCTAACAGTCTGCAAAAAATAATAAGCCGGATCCAATTTGAAGATTAAGGAACAACACAATCTGCAACATTAACTGAATTAGATAATTTTAGCTTAGCTTATACCGTCTGTTATACATTAAACGCGCATGCGTAAACGTTTTATGCGCACGCGCACAAGCATATTCGCAGCCGTAAATGTCTTACGCGCACACATAAACGCCTATGCGCATGCGCAGAAAGTTTTTAGCTTTGAGGTCCGGATTATAGATAATTCCAGATTATGGGTGTCCGAATTAACGACTTTTACTGTATATATCTATTATATTTATATAAATATTTGCAGAAGGTTATGCTGTTGTTGGTGGGTGAATGTTGGATTTCAGATGACGTGAAGTTATGAATGTTTTCATTTAATTTTATTTAGTTAATTATTATTATTATTTTTTTAGTTTTGTTTCCTGTGTGTGGCAGTCGAAAGATGTGGAATATTTAAAGTTTTGAATGAAAGTTGTTTAGTATGTTGAATCACAGGATGTTCAACTATTCTCTCTGCACATAATAATTACTGTTCACCACTGTAAACACAAATTTCCTATTCTGTTCACAACCCCCCAAAAGACCCCACAGATATTCTATCACCTGAGTGTTGGCATTACAGCAGGATCAAAAACATTTGCGATGTTATTTACCATTAGGTAGATGTATGACATGATTCATACTCATAATCAGGGCTTAATTTCTAAAATTAGAAGTGCCGGAGCCCTATGACGGAGACCGTCAGCAAAGAAGAGCAAGAGTAAATAAATAAATAAAATGACTATTAAACTCATTAATAATTTTAAAATTAAATAGTTTTATTTATTGAAGTAATTAAATAATTAAAGATTTTTAAGTAATTAAATAATTAAATTGAATGTAAAGAGATAAATTAAAATTTAATAAGGGATTTTTAATATAATTTTATTGCTAAAAATAAAATTTTCGAGATAAAATTTCTACTGATATTCTTATTTAATTACATATAAAAGAAGTGCTGCAGCCTTCTTCTTTAGGGCTCCGGTGCGCTCTGGCTAGAATTATGACCTACTACAAAAACAGCTCCGGTGGGCTCCAGCCCAATTTAAACTCTGGTCGTAGGGGGGGGGAGACGTTCTTTTATCATCGCAAAAAGTAAATATACTTATAGCTGATGAAAATTCAGATAATGCTAAAAACAGGGCGAAACAGAATGAGGGTGTGATGGTATGAGTAGGTGGAAACAAAAAATGAGAGGAATATTGGTGAGAGAGAACATTTTCTTTGACCACGGCTCTCTGCTGATATAATTATAGCCATCAAGCGGATGTGTGTCAGGATAAAATGAGTCCTGAATAATGAATAATAAATAAGGATGAATGTAAAGTTGCTGTTTACACTTTTCACCCCCCTGTATTTGGTTACATTAGTGGATACTGTGGGAAGATGATGTATAGGACGTGCTTGTTCAGTTTATCTCAGTATTTCACTCTTATTGTACTCGCTGTCACTTAATGCACATTTAAGAACACAAATTTTCTTTCCTGTGAGGATAACTAACTCTAACCATCAATAACAATACACTAGATACGATGGCATTTTACGCGTTCCTAACAAACTTCCCTAAATTTATTGCCCTTCTTAAAGGGAAAGGTTTCCGTATGTGAGTGAGGGGACTTTACTTGAACGTCTCATGTTCTCATTCGTATTTCTAGGAAAATAGAGTATTGCAAGGTCTGCTTATTGTTAAACTAAAATGTTAGGAATTCTATTATTTATTTATTTTGTTGAAATTGTGGCTAAGTTTTATAAAAAGAAGTACCGGAGGTCATTTTATTTATGGCTCCGGTGCACTCCGGCTAGAATTGTAATTTATCTTAAAAAGTGAGAAGTAGCGGAGGCGGGCTCCGCAGCAATTTAAGCACTGCTCATAATCAAATGTAAATACAAGGTAGGTTGCTTGCTCACGAGAGAAGTGAAACAAAGAAATGAATCAAACTAGACTAAAAACTTAAAATTAGGCAAAACAGCAAACTTATATTTAGCTTATGTAAATTGAGCAAATTCTTTTATTTCTGATGAAGAAAGACTTGTGCTTGATTACCCACAAAATCAATATCATTTTGATTAAAACCTATACCAAACATAAAGTTGCTGTTTTGCCTAATATTAGGTCACCTGTTGTGAGAACACCATTTTGTTCATCTCTTGGTAATTCTTAAATTATAAAATAATCTAATTTTTTTAAAAAACACTATGACTAGATAAAAAATATAATTATGCATGTAATGCTTATAGAGACAACTGACAGAACACAAACCAAATTGGCAACATTTGAGGCTGAGGAAATATACCAAACAACAAAAAGTGCCAAGTGAAATGGAACAGAGCCAAAACTTAAGGAGAAAAGCATCAAAAAGTGATTATTACCTATATGACAGTAGCCACCTGGCAAGAGAAAAATGTGCTGAAACTTTTTGGAGAACACTGGCCATGACCATAGTCACAACCAATTGAACACCAAATATAGCCTATAATAGGAATGAAAATATTTTTTATTTAAGTTTAAACTAAAGCTCATAAGTTACGTTCAAAATAGCTGACATCTATTTGCATCAGATCAAAGTTTCCATTTTCTATGTAGCTTTATACAGCAGAAATATAACATTTTCTAATATATACTCATACTAGGCAAAATCATTAGAAACATCTATGACATCATATAAATTAGACAAGGGGTTAAAATTATGACTTAACACATATTTTTAAAAGGTTGTCTTTTTCCTTAATATTCACACTGTAAGTTGCATCTTGCAACTAAAACCTTTATCCAATATAAAGAATACATAGGAGATACACTCATTGCGATAAAAATTTGTGCACCAAGAAAGAGTTGTCAGAATGAAACAAAATTTTACATATTTCAGTACTACTTTGATATAAATAAGTGATGCACCTTTAGTTCATAGGCTGTCCAACTTGTCATCCCAAATATGCTCGATTGGTGACAAATATGGGGATCGAGCAGGCCAGGTAAGGGTGTTAACATAGCGGAGGCAGTCTTGTGAGATCCATGCTGTGTGTGGCCGAGCATTGTCTAGTTGAAAACAGGCTCCTGGGAGCTCTGCCATTAGTAGCAACACATGTGGCTGAAGGATGTCATGGATGTACTGCTGGCCTGTCATTATGCCATGGATCAATATTAGGGGTGAATGTGTATTGTAAGCAATGGCACCCCATACTATCACACCAACTGTGGGAAAGGTGTGTCGTTGTAAAGATGGATTGAGGTGTTCACCATGGGGCCTCCACATGCAAACATGATTGTCATCACTGGTCAAATTGAATCTAGATTTGTCGGCTGAAGACGACCTGGTTCCATTCCGTTAAGTTCAATCCTGTCGTGCGCGACACCACTCCAAACGGCGGTGTCATTGGCAGTACACGTAATGGCCGCCGCGATACCAGATGTCCTTCAACCAGGTGGCTTGCGATGGTTCGGGACGACAGAAAGGCTTGTAATGAAGCTGCTGCTTGTGTCTGGATAACGGCAAATGAGGCAGGTGGCTCTATTGAGTGCATGTCATATGAAGTGACTGTCTTCTTGATGACTGGTTTGTCGAGGGCATCCTGAGCCTGTGTGAATGACGTCTCTTCTTTCCACTGGTTCCAACAACTCCTAACAGTAAAAATCAGAATGGCCTACCTGATAAGCTACTACCTGAGCTAACAACCCAGCTTCCATCGTCCCTCTCTCAAACTCTAACAGCTGCTGATAGTGGCTTCGATGGCGGAGAAATGGCATGTCTACCTCAGCGTTTTCTTAGCAAAAGATTAAGTACACTCAAACAAACTCTGTTTACCTATTTTATACTCCAAGAAGAATGAAGTTCAATGCCCTATAGTGGCATTATGCAATGCACAATCACGTTACATTTCTAATCATTGGCATATCTACAGGACATGTACCTTCATACCAAGTTTCATTATGATCCCACAATTATTTCTTGGTGCATAAATTTTTATGGCAATAAGTATACTCATATTTAAACAAAAAGTAGCATTATTAAAGAAAATTTTAGTCCAAGGAAATATAGAATTATGCCCCTAAAGAGGGTCATTTATTAAACAGTAACAGAGGTATAAAATGCAAAGTACTTTTAAATGGAATATAATACATTTTTATGTAAGTCTGTGATCACAAACTTAAATAGCATGCAAGCCAAATGCACTATAGAAAAGCAACTGATGGACCTGAATTTCTATATGTATATATATATAAAGAAATATAAATATTTTTGGTACTACACTTATATACGCCCTCAGGTCGCCAAATATGGCGATATGTGTTCTGCATTGGTTTTTGACATGATGTTGTTTGTATGGCAACGCTTTTGACGTTGAAACTTTATTTTGCTGTAGTGGTTTTATTTGCTGGTTGGTTGGTTTGGTGGGCATTTTGAAATGGCTTATGTTGAAATGAAAGATGTGGTGGTAAAATTTCAGTCGTGTATTTTGGATTTTGTGCAAAGTAAATTTAGTATTAAAAGGTACAATGTTGGAGTTGTTAACGAGTCTTTCGTTCACGGGTCTGCGAAGTGTATTTTTGGAATTTCTGTGGGAGCCAGGACTTCTTAAGCGGAGTTTGGTGTGTCCGAAATGCGGAGCTGATGACAGAACTCATACGAAGAATGGCGCTTCTGATGGACTTATGTGGGTTTGCAGGCAAATGGCTGTGGGTTGGTTGTTGTTTTGCTGATGTTGAAATTGATATTTCTGCTGTTTGAAGAAGCATTCACAATGGTAAGTGCATTTTATTTTATTGTTGTGTTTATTTTGTAGAATGTTATGTTCATTGTTTTTTTGCAATGAATTTCAGTTGTTTTTTGAATTGTTTGTAATTTATTTTAGCTTATTTTGTTGATTTGTGCATAATGCCAATGCTGTGCAATTTGCTGATGTTTTTGTAAGTTAAAACAGAAAGCTGTGTGCATGGTATTGTTTGAAATTTATTATTGTTACGTTAATTTATTTTAGCGAGGTGTGCATAGTTCCTAGATTTCTTCGCTGCATAAATTGTGCAATTCTCTTCTTATTATTTTTTTTTTAAGTTCAAACAGATTGCTCTGTACATGGATTCTTGTCAAATATTTTTGGTTACAAACTTTGCGTTTTTGCGACTAAATTTCTTGTTTAGAATTTTTGGTGTACATTGTGTGTTAAAAACGTGGTTTTCTGCAGACATTTTAGGCTTAAAGTTCAAAATGTAGACAAAAAATTTAGCTAGTAAAATGGCAAAATGGAGTTTCACACCAAAAATGTTTCTCAAAAAATTTGTCACCAACCGAGGGCATATAGGTATAAGAGTAGTTCCAATTCTTTTAAACCCGTCCTGCGCAGAATTGATGTAGAATAAACTGAAAGCATCTAAATTAATCAGTAAATTGGAATAAAAGCAAGGGAATTCTTTGCAACTGTGTATAAGAGGAACACAATATCAAAACTAATCCAATTACAGAAAGAATTCATAGTAGAACAATCTCGAAAAATAAAAATGCAAAAGGGAAAAATACGCAGAATTATACAAATAAAAATTAATCTCCTCTTATTGAAACTCCAATTCAGAACTCCTCAGGGGAAAATGAATTAAAGCTTCATAAAAGTCGATTAAGATGTTTCGTTCTCCTGGTTCATTTGAGATAAAAAACCATAAAAAGATTTCATAAAATTTTTATTAAAGACTTCAAAATTCATATAAAGCCAAAAACCCGAATCTCAAATGCACCAAAATTTTCTCTACACATTTTCGAAACACCTAGAAAAAGAATAAAGCATTACATAGTGCCAAAATGACAATTACAAACCATGGAACTTTACATTATGCACACTGAAATTCAGAAAAACTAATTGGTCTAAAACCAATACTATATGCTAATCCGAAATTCAAAAGCAAGTAAATAAAGAACAAAACTAATAGTCATTTAAACAAACTAAAAAATTGGGAGGTCCCCAATTATGTTAAACTAAACTTTTAATATCAAGAAAATGAAAAACTGTACTTAGAATTTCTACAAATAAAAAGTCAAATCTGTTCTTTAAACAGCTAAAAATTGAAAAGCTGTTTGAAAAATAATTGAAAAACGCAAACTTACTGAAATTTTAACATGACCTTCTATGCGTGATCTATCTAAATTCTAAAGACGACCAAACTTGCTAAAGAAAGTAGAAATCAAATTGCTCTAGAGAAACTGAAATTTTGTAGTTCTTGGATAAAGTGTGCGATAAGGTTCAAACTGTCCAAAAGCAGAACAAAGTATTTTCACATGTGTTAATGCACTACCCTGTTATATTTTGTGTCAATGTTTGGGTGTGGTCTTAAAAATTATTACCGATGAGGAAAGGATGATTGTCAACACAAAATGGCTGCATAAGAAACTTCTAAAAGAAGCTGCTCTCTGTAAATTCTTACAGCGCGAACACAGAACTGGCTCAAAATTTCGGAAAAGAAAAAAGGTAAATGTTACAAAAGATAAAATTCTTCACGTAATTGGGGTACAATACGCCTTAGAAACTAGAAACCCCATTTTTTTTAGTAACCGCCAGATTTGCCAGTTATTTAACCCTCTGACCGTTATAGGATTTTAGATCCGTCATGAAAACCGGTATTTAAACAGCATTTATTAATTGGGTTTGTGTAATTACTTATTTTAGCCTGTATTTTCACAAACTTACATTCATTAAGATTATATTTGCATTATTAAAGAAAGTAAGAAAACAAAATATCTTAAATTATAAGCTAATATATGCCACGTAGCAAAAGTTCTGATGACTGGATAAAGCCGGTCAATAACGCTCAGAGGGTTAAATTTACAAAATAGTAGAAAGATAGTACAGTCAAAAGTCGTTAATTCGGACACCCATATTCCGGAATGATCTATAATCTGGACCTTAAAGCTACAAACTTTCTGCGCATGCGTAGCGTTGACGCATGCGCGTAAGACCTTTACGGCTGCAAATATGCGTGTGCGCAAAATACGTTTATGCATGCGCGTTTAATGTATAACGGACGGTATAAGCTAAGATAAAATTATCTAATTCAGTTAATGTTGCAGATTGCGTTGTTCCTTAATCTTCGAATTGGATCCAGCTTATTATTTTTTGCAGACTGTTAGAGCAATTTTATAAAAGTAAGCTTGAACTTTCGATTATGTCAAATAGAATTTTCAATATATATTTACTAATATGTAAAGGATCTACCAAAGCGAAAGTATGTTTCGAAGTCCATTAAACAAAAGTGGAATTGCTGCAAAAAAATAAAGGCATACCTAACCATTCCGAAATCTGTTTATCAATTTCACACTGCTCTGCGGCGGGGATGGGGGGGGACGGCGCGCAATGAATTGGAAGTTGATCTGTCAGCACTATCCATATCTTCAGGGCAGATGTTTTCAACACTGCGGCATGCAATAAATTGGAAGTTGATCTGTCAGCACTATCCTTATCTTCAGGGCAGATGTTTTCATTTCATTTGGCTTATAATTCCTTACTAAATGTAGTATTTCATCTCGATGTATTCCGTCTTTGATATGTTTTAAATGAAATTCCTCGTCATTATAATTTGCTTCCGATAGTGAAGAAAGTGACAGAAAGGTTATTGAAAACGAAAAAATTTCGATTGACAAGTTAGTTGGTATTCTCGAAGCAGCAATTACAGGATTTGAACAGTGGAAGTTTGTAACTGAACAAGAAATTACGTCTGTTTATAGAATTAAAGAGAAAGTATTATCACATAAAATGAAGCAAACAACTTACATTGAAAGAAATGTTTAATAAAGTAAACAAATAAATATTAAGCTTTTTTTTTTTTTTTTTTTTTGATACCCTTTAGATCATAATTGTTCTTTATTTCATAAATTACAGTTTCATATTTTTCATTTTATAATTTCTGCATGCCATCTTACCAGATTTAAATTGATGATCTATAATCTGGAAAAATCGAAAATCCAGAATCGCCGAAGTCCCGACGAGTCCGGATTAACGACTTTTGACTGTATATAAAAATAGTATAGTTTTCAGTTTTATAAGAATTTTAAAGTCTTTAATAAAAATTTGCTGAAATCTTTTTATGGTTTTTGATCTCAAATGGACCAGGAGAACGAAACGTATTAATCGACTTTTATGATAGTTTAATTCATTTTCACCTGATGAGTTCTAAACGGAGTTTCAATAGAGGAGATTAATTTTTTTTTTATATAATTTTGTATATTTTCCATTTGCATTTTCATTTTTCAAGATTGTTCTAATATGAATTCTTCCTTTAATTGGATTAGTTTTGATATTGTGTTAAACCTCTTATACACAGTTGCAAATTATATATTATACCGAATTGCCGTGCTTTTTCCAATTTACTAATCAAAATAGGTGCTTAAAGTTTATATACATATATTTACAAAACAATTCTTTTGAAAAAAAATTTAAACATGCCTAGAAAATTAATTCTAAATTTTTTACTTTAAGTCTTTATATAAATAAATTAGACTATTTTTTTTCTTACATATTGTCAAAACACACATAAACAGTAATAATAAAGATACAAGAAAAAAAATCAAATTTATTTTTGAAATCTAATGTATTTCAAACTTACTGACAGCTAAATATTAATGGTTAATCTTTGGATTATGGTAACTTAACGATTTTTTGGCGAAAATTTGGCGACCAACCCTGCTACAGCAACCTGCTATTTTGTTTTGGATGCCATTTTGTTTTCACGAAGTAAAGGCATGTTTTTTTTTTTTTTTTTACTCAACATTTTTTCCGACAATCTGCTAGCCAAATTACGCTTATACTAGAACTTTTATGGAACAAAAATGCTTAATCATGACGGAGATTAGGTGCGAAATTGGGAGAAAGTGCAGAATCGCAAACTGCTTCCTGCGGTTTTAAGAATTGCACATACACGGTATCCATGTACACATCGATCTATTTTCACTTAAAAAAACATCCCAGAATTGCACAAAAATGGCATTGCGCACACTCTTGACTTTATCCATATACACTACTAAAGTCCTAGTTAGTAACCTTTATCACCTTACCAAAATGTCGCCAAACTACCTGTTACCATATTCCAAAGATTAGCCATATTAATTTTCAGACTGACATTCATTCAGATAATTCTAATATACTGAAATAACTACAAAATATTTTATTTTTAATTCAAGCTAAAAACATACAAACTATGAAAATATCCCAAGAAGGACGAAAATTGAGAATAAATAATGACAGCCTATTTGCTCTCTTTCATTTATTAACTTTTTATTGGATGCAGGCAAAAAAAAAATATACATATTTGTTTATATTTTACTATAACATTCAGATGCAACTCATGGTGTTTTGCTTTTGATGAAATTCCTAATGTTTGAAACAAACTAATAGAAAGTAACTTCATCACCAACTGCAGATGCTCATCGACAAATTGGTTCTTTCCTTAGACTTATAATTTTCAACTACAGGAAAAAGTGTGAAAATGTGAATATACTCCCAAGCAAGGTAAGTAATTATTCTTAATGCAAAAATTTGCAACCGATGGTACTTATCTTTTGAAAAGTATGAATAAAAAAAAATTTGATCAAAACTGTATTTTCAAACATTTGAATAAGATTTATATTTATTATAAATCAATTAGCCCCATTTAAAGATTTTGCAGAGAAAGCTGAGACAATAAAAAAAAATCAAAGTTTGGAAAAACATGTCTTTCACAGGTAGCCAACAGGTTTAACAACAGAATAATTACTAATCAAATAATGTAGACTGTAGCTGATCAAAAACGTTGCTTGATGGTTATTATAAAAGAAATCAATAATTTTATTTCAAACTTCATATTCCGTTAAGGACAACTGTGATAAAGCAATTTGTGTTTTTTTTCTGACAATACGCCACTCATCCAAACGAATTCGAAACTTTATGGAAAAGCCAGATTTTTCATTCAGTTTGATAAATATGGCTTAATTAAATCGACATGGAAGTTAATGTTAAAAGTGAACCTTCTCTTAGAATAAATATGTAACTTATTATTGACAAATACATAGAATATTTCAATTTTAATCAGTAACACTATATAAAATTGGTTAAGAAGTCTGAAAAAAATTATGTTAATGTCTTGGATTATAATATATCACAATAACACAACTTTTGCAGTCATTTAATTTAGATAAATAAAAGTTTAAAGATGCTGTGCAACTGCTTTAGAGCAAAATTAATTCATAAGGAAGCAGAAATAAATAAGTGGTAGGAAACTGGAAGAAACTGTTAAATGAAATGCCAGTATCCAAATATATTAACAGTTCTTAAAAGATTTCAGGATACTAAATTCATTAAGCAGTTCTGCACTATTGGATGAATCTACAAATTTGAACAATGATAATTTTAAAACATTTATATATTTTTTTTTTGTTTAAACTGTCATTACAGTTTAAATAATACTTTTAATATTAACTGCAGTTCCTTCTACAGTTATAATATGGATGCTTGTGAGAATACAATTAGTTAAATACTTCATTTGTTTCTCTTTTATATATATATATATATATGCATTTTTATGACTATCGATCGGACTGACTGTAAATATGCAGTTAACAAAAATTTCTATTGAGGAATGCTGTTTTAGAGATTACAAATGAAGTATCGCACCATTGAAAAATCATAGCTGAAAAGTCAATGCATGTGGATAAATTCTCAGACAATCTTTCGTATAAATATCTTTCCATGATTTCCCATGCAAAAAAAAAAAAAATATATGTGCGCTAACAAGAACAGAAGAAGCACAATAAAAGAAAACAAAATCAACAGCAGTTTCGATGTTGTATTTAATTCCTTTTCCTATAAAATTTAATAAAGATATTTTCAAAAGCTTGTTTCGTGAAGAATAAATTTTTATACATAACAAAACATCACAAGTGAAAGTAAATTTTCAAAATAAACTCATAATCATTAATCAACGAAGGAAGATACTAAAAGAAACACGCAAAATATGAAAATTTTACCATGTGTGCAGGTAAAAAGTTTTGATTTAGAAATCTAAATACAATAGTAATAATCTACTAAACAAAACGCATTGTAAAGACAAATATGTGGTATAAGTAGGGCAGAGTATAAATATAAACAAATGCGCTAATTTTTGCTTAAGTCGGTAAATTAAGAGTCGGTTTGCGGTTTGAAAGAAATGCATGCATTTCGGGTAGCAGACGCCGGATCAAACGCTTGCCCTCTACCGGCTGTTTTTGAATTATATCTGCAAACGTTAATTGAACTCCAGATATAACGCAAAAACATGCAAAATGAGTTGCTACGTTTTGATATTCATTAATAATGTCAACAAGCACAGAGTTCAAAAACCAACCTTTAGTTGTATGGAAAAATTATTAAGAGATCCATGAAATATACCTCTTGAAAAGGAAAATAATTCTAAAGAGTTTTAATGATTAGCTTTCTTTTGTGTGTGGCAACGTTGTCTGTATTCCATGATTTTGTTTTGAGTTGTAGCTTTCGTTAATAAATTTGAATTTCGTTTTGTTTTCTTGAATTTAAATGAAAGATTTGGAATCTTCTTTTAAGCTAAAATTATCTAATTCAGTTAATGTTGTAGATTGCGTTGTCCTTATCTTCCAATTGGATCCGACTTTATTTTTGCAGACTGTTACAGCAATTTCAAAGTAAGCTTGACTTCGATTATGTCAATAGAATTTCCGATATATATTTACTAATATGTAAAGGATCTACAAAGCGAACTATGTTTCGTCGTCGTCCATTAAACAGAAAGTGGAATTGCTGCAAAAAATGGATAAAGGCATATCCTTTGATTATCTAATCATTCCGAAATATGTTTATCAATTTCACGCATCACCGCTTACCGATAGGTTGTTTAGCAACATGGGTGTCGTGAAAAGACACATCATGCCCGTTTCCATCCCAAATGTTTCGTCGGAAAAAGGGAAAGTTTTTTTTTTCCAACTTTTGAAGATTCCTTTTTCGACTCGACACCCAAACCCATCGGCAAGAAAAAATAAGTTTTTCACCTGATCTCTCCTTCTTGAAAGTCATTTGTTAAAGTTTCACAAAATATATCTGTACGCGATGGAACAATTGTGATACGTTTATTCTGACTGATCTGACCAGCTGTGGATTACATGATCATGCTTTCTTGAAAGTCATTTGTTAAAGTTCCGCAAAATATATCAGTATACGATGAAACAATCGTGATCCATTGATCGTGACTGGTCTGGCCAGCTGTGGATCACATGATGTTGCCTTCTTTAAAGTCATTTCTTAAAGTTTCCCAAAATATGAAATAGATCATTGAATTTGCACATATTCATAAAATGTCATTCAAAATGTAATAGAGTCTAACAAATCTTTAAATACTTTAAAGCGAAATATCAAAGTATTGAAAAGAAATAATAACATATTTTCTATAAAAACGGCTGTTGAGTAAAACATTTATAGCCTTGAAAAGCAAAAAACAGTAGGAGGGAAAGAATATTAAAATACGTCAAAGTATTGAAAGGAAATAACACATTTCTAGTCTAATGAAATACAAAAGAGTAGGAAAACGATGTTTACATACCTTCACAGAAGCTCTTTCCAGGAGAGAGAAGCGTGTATCCACGTTGAGTGCACAGCTCAGACTGATCTGAAGCTGAAACGCGAGTGGTTTAAATAGATAAGCGAGAGTTCCTTCTAGAAACAATTTGGATCAGTCTTGTTTTGATCATCGAGTCGAGGGAGGAAGAACTCTCAGAGCTCTGGAAAAAATTTCTGAGTGGCTGAGTTGTTAAAAAAAAAATTGTTAATTTTTATTATGTCTTTAGTCATAATAAAAATTAACTTTACCTCCCCTATTTTGGTTCGAATCAGGTCTCAACATGTTTCAACATGCTTCTAAAGCAGATTTCCAAGAAAAAGATGACTCATTCTTTTCTTAGAAATCTACTTTTAGAAAGGGTGAGGCATTATTCCCAGAGAAACGGAGAAAGATAGTTAATTTTTATAATGTTTAAATACATTCTAAAAATTAACAAAAAAATTTTTTTCACAACTCAGAAATTTTTTCTTCAGCTCTGAGAATCTTTCGCAGTCGACTCGATGATCACAACAAGATAGATCTAAATGGTTGCTAGAAGGAATTCATACTTATGTATTTAAACCACTCGAGTTTCGACTTCAAATCACTCTGTGCTGTGTATTTCACCTAGATACACACTTCTCCCTCCTAGAAAGAGATTCTGTGAAGGTATGTGAGTATTTTTCTCAGCTCCTAGAAATGTTTTCCAGCCGACGTGATCGACGAGACATCAGCCGATTTTTTTAAGAATAGACTCTCTGATATCGATGGAGGATTTTCCCGTTTCGCTTTCGCCGAGTCCCTGTTGTGCACCCACCTGGGTACAAGTGTTCACATCTCTCAACATGAGCCTTCTTCATCCTTTCCGAAAGTCGATATGTATTTTCTTCACGAGTGTTTCCAATTTTTCCCTGAGATCTTTAAGAAGGGGTTCAGGAATCCACTCAACACGATCTAGAGAAGCTTCGTTTCAGAGGGCATGCGATATTGAGATAGGATTCAAACCAGAAAAAGAGAGGGATGTCGTTCATTTTATAATATCTGAAAACATCATAAAATTAACAAAAAGTTTTATAACATATATATTATGTAATAATATATTATATAATATATATATATTAATATTATATATATTCTTAGATTTTTTTTTTCAATCTTTTAGAAAATATTTTCCAGCCCATCTCAAAAGAATTCCTCCCAGCCGACGTGATTATCAGCCCATTTTTTTATTCTACTCTCTCAGAAAAAATATTTTCCTGCCCATCTCAAAAGATTCATCAGCCGATGTGATCGACGAGACGTCAGCCCGATTTTTTTAAGAACAGATTCTCTGATATGTCTGGAGAATTTTCCCCGTTTCACTTTCGACGAGTCCCTGTTGTGCACCCCCTAAGTACAAATCTCCATATCTCTCAACTTGATCCTCTACTTCATCCAACCTCATCTCAAGAGGATCATCCCAGCCGACGTGATCATTAGCCCATTTTTTTGATTTGAATAGGTTCTCAGAAAATCTGGAGAATTTTCCATCCGATCTTCAAAAGAGGATCCTCCCAGCCGATGTGATCATCAGCCCTTTATTTTTTATTCCAGTCTCTCAGAAAAATATTTTCCAGCCCACCCCAAAACGATCCTCCCAGACGATGTGTTCGACGTGATCATCAGCCCATTTTTTGATTCCAATCTCTCAGAAAATATTTTCCAGCCAGCCGACGTGATCATCAGCCCATTTTTTGATTTCAATCTCTCAGAAAACTATTTTCCAGCCCATCTCAAAAGGATCCTCCCAGCCGACGTGCATAATCAGCACATTTTTGATTAAGAATAGACTCACAGAAAAATATTTTCCAGCCCATCTCAAAAGGAACCTCCCAGCCGACGTGATCATCAGCCCATTTTTTTAAGAATGGATTCTCTGATATCTGTGGAGGATTTTCCTCGTTTCGCTTTCGTCGAGTCCCAGTTGTGCACCCACCTGGGTACAAATGTCCACATCTCTCAACATTAGCCTCATTCATCCAGTCCATCTCAAAAAGATTCTCCCTGCCGACGTGATCATC